GGGGGGGGGGGGGGGGGGGGGGGTAGAGGGTTGTGGAAAATCCACAGTGACCAGGCTCTGTGGGTAGATATGATCACATCAAGATAAAATAAAGTAAAAATTATTCAAAAGTTATTTGCCCTACGATGGCATGCACATGCGTCTGAACTTGCAAGAGTTTTATACAGGAAATTGATCCAACTGTGTTCATACCAAAGTACCTGTGTACATGGCGGGGGAGGGGGGAGGGGGACGTTCCTAAACTGGCCCGTGTGTGTCTGGCCGGCCTTGAGGTCAAAATGACGCACAGCACTATACATGTATAATATATAATATCGCGCGAAATTTCAAAAATGTATTTTACTAACATTTGTTTAGGACTGAAGTTGTAATCTATTTACTGGAGAGGGACGCCAGTGGAAATTCCCGACGTTTTCCCGCTTCTGAGGTTTCAAAGTTTTTAAATCAAGGAAACGCAAAGGTAAGTGAAAACTTGTAGTCCAAATTGAAGAACGATACTATATACATGATATTTAAAGTTCGTCATTTGCAGGTTAACCAGGACATTTATTCATATGCACAGCTGCATGAGCGAAATAACGTTGTTTGCTCTCTACAAGTCCTACTTCAACTTGCATGTACATGGTTAAGGCTATAGACTTTCCAAAGTCCTTTCCAGGCCCCTCTATGGCGCGCTTCACTTCCTCTGTGGAAAGGACTTTTGTCACTTGCAGCGCGCCAAATATCACCGGTGGAAAAATCCACCGGTGACGTCATTGTTTACATTGAAGGTCGAAGCGGTTACATTATCGGTCATTATGGAAGGAGTCTGAAAATAACATTATATTGTCAGGCTTTTTGTTGAACAAATGTGTATTATTGAAGCAAACAGAGTAAACAATGTAATTACAATTTTGTAGAACACAAAAACCATGTGAAAATACACAAACAAACAAACATTACGTTGAGTATAAAGTACAGGGTGTAGAAATAAACTTTAATACATGCCACCGAAGATGCATCTGATGATTCTAAAATTTCCTCACTAGTTTCGGGTTTAGTTTGGGTTTCTTGATCTCGATTACTGACTATTACAAATTCGTTTGCTGAGAAAACAACGCGTATTTTCACTGGATTTTGAACTCTAGCAACGTCTTCTAGTTGATCACAATCGCCGCCTCTCTGCTTAGGGTTACAGTTGTCTGATTGTTTTCGATTAGATTAAATTAAATTAACTTCTATCACGTTAAATCGCCGGCGAACTGAATCAACTTTATACTATAAAGTGTATATATTCTTGTCGACACAATCTATAATTACGGCACGCATTGTTAAACAAACAACTGTCCAGATTCAATAAGTTTTTACATGCACTTGTTTTTGTTGATACATTGAACAGCTTTCGGCGCTTACTTGGGTCAGTTATTTCGTTTCCACACTTGGTGCAAACTCGACGACAAAGAAATATCAATTTTTGAGAATGTTTTTGTGTTTTTGTAGACCCATTGTCGGCGCGGTGAAGTAATTGTATGAAATGTACATACCTTTTTATGTCAAAATTATTCGCGCCAAAATTTTTGATGCGATTTAAATTCCTGCAAGCGACACAAGTCGACCACTCGCGACTTCGTCGCTCGGGTCGCGCGCTCCCTCCCCGCGCCCTCCCCCATGGTCGACTTGTGGCAAGTCTAGGTTAAGGCATGTAGTATTGTACTGTAATACTGTATGCTGTTGCACGGAGCTATTCTGGAACGTGGTAACATGTACATAATTCTCGACAGGTCACTGATTTCATATGTTGATTTTAAACCACGAAATTTGAGCAGAGATCAGTAATAAACGTATTTTATAGAATACTGATCTCAGTTTTAATTATCATTAGTGTGTGTTTTGTGAATTAGATTCAGTTACAAGCACTTGGAGTATCTAAAGTGATTGCTAAAGCGGATTTAACGGAAGATCAGTTGAATATGTATCTCAGTAACCCTCCTGCAGGTAAGAGACCTAGGCTTCAATATACTGGTTTATATACAGTACATGCAGACGAGATCTGTACCTTACATCTAACGCTATAGCTGACCTGGTAAATGACAGGAGTGAAGCCGGTTTTCACTACGCAAATTTGTTCGTGCAGAGTAAAGCGAGAAGCAAATTTATGTTATAGTTGTATTTGTAACGATAGTAACAATAACTTATGTTTAAGCATTACTACGTTTAAGCCGCAATGCTCCCAAATGTGCCCTTGTGCTTTGTACTGTAATGCCAGATTGGATGTGTATTTTAGGACATTTGTTGTAAATAATTTCTTGTAAAATATATTCAAAAACAGAATATCCACAGTTACATGTAACGCTGGTTTCGTACTTTTACGTAGGTATTCATCCAATATTATGGGAACAGGCCAGGAAAGACAACCCTCAACCTCACAGGTAAATGATGAAAAACCTGCAGTTGTTGTAATACAGTAGTTTCACGTTTCAGAGGAATATTTCCAGTATTTTCTTTCTCTTACAGTAAAATTTACGTACTTGACATGTAATCTCCTTCATACCCAATTTTGTATTAACTAATGATATCATGATTGTATAGAGTATACAATTTTTCACTCTTACAGCTGTCCTTTTTGTCCTGTGTTGATTTCCAAATTTATGTGATTAACTATAAAATTTCCATGCATCTCTCCATTTATTTGTCTCCTAGACTTGTGCCAGTGCCAATTTTGGGATTTGAACAACTTCAAAGTAGAATGAAGTTTCAACAACAGGAAACAGCTTTACATCAAAATGCCCTGGAGGTGAAGTGATCTTGTAGTTTTATACTGTTATATTTACCTGTGTGTGCATGTGTTTCTCTGTGTGTCTGTCTGTCTGTCAGAACGATAACTTAAAAACTATCAAACGTATTAATAGGAAAATTATTGGGACTAATCGACATTGCTCAAGGACAAATTGATTAAATTTTGGTTAAGTTTGGATGAAAATTGGATGAGAAATTAGCAAAAGTTTGTCTTGCTTTGCCGGGCTAGCCTGCGAGGCAAGGCTCCCTCAGAGGCTATGCCGGGCAGAGTAAACTGAATGTGTAATTAGCCCATTGTATAATTCACGCATGATACATAACTTAAGTCACTGGTGGAAGTCTTCGAGTGCCTCCAAGCGGCATGTAAGAATGTGGACGGGTCTAGATCTCGTATTCCTATCTCTTGATCAGTGATTCCTATATGCGAGGCACTCTCTCGTTTCAATTTACAAAGATATTACAATGTAGAACCATTTCACATCAGCAACAAATGACAAAATAACCCTAACAGAAAGAAGTAAAACATGAGTTTCCTACCATATATTGAACTGTTTGGACCACGCGTGGTACCCATTTGGATCTCGCGTGCAAACCTTACGCCCCGGACGGTGATTACGATTACGAATTGCATTTCTATAGCGCAAATATGCGGATATGATCAATTGCGCTTTACATCAAGTATTATACGCTTACCTAATTACATACTGAGCCTTACATGCTTATACAATACAATAAAATTTATTTATCCACGGTGGAATCTTCAGAAGATGTTAAGGCCCATTTCCACTCACGAAAATTTTCCGCGGAAAGAAAATTTTGTAAAATGTGATTGAAATTTTCAACTTTTAACAATGACATTTTCGGAAAATTTTCTGTTCATGGAAAAATTTCAAACTTTTAACTAATGATTCCACACTTCAAAATTTTAAATGATTCCACTGTTTTAAAAGGCATTAATTGGTGGTACATTTCGACAGACAACTGCGGATCATGATCATGTATGTATGTTCCTGTGTATTTTCAGATTTTATCAGATGATATTGCCACTTTGCAACAAAAACATACTGAAACTTTAACAAAATTGACAGAGACCAAAAGACGTTTCCTTGATCTCAGTCACAGAGTTTTGAAAGTATGTACTGTCGGTATTTGAGAAATACCGTAACCATTAAATTTATCCACTTAATTGTATTGCTCTCTTGCAATTGACGCCATCTTGGTTGATTTTCGTGGCAACTAAAAATCTATATTCTTCATTCTTTGTCGTATTGTGCCAGAAATCGTAAACTATCCATTATACAGTAAGATGTTTTCAAAACAAACCAAAAATATTAAAGTAACTCAACTATTTCGATGTAAACGGCTGGACAAAACTTTAAAATCAACCAAGATGGCGCCTAATGACACGTAGTGACGTCATGTGCAAGCAAAGAATATCGCACTGTATAATACTGTACAGTACTATGGTAATGAAGTTCGTTGCTAATAATTTATTTATTTACTAACTTTGTCATGTAGACATGTAAGACCCATAGAGCTTTTGCTCCGTTATGGGCAACATTGTACTTACATTTACAGAGTGTTACTCATTGAACTATATAAATAAACTGGAAGGCTAACTGCTATGATGAAGGCCTATGATTTGATGAAGCCAAAATAGTTTTTCTGAGTTATGAGCAGAAATACTTGACCCCAAACGTCGGGCTATATATCAAATTGAAGCTATTGGAAATTGCTATTCGGTGTGGAAATTTCAAGACTTCAGCGAAAAGAAAAATATTTAAAAAATACAAAAACAACTGCAAAATGGCAAATTGTTGGCAATTATTTTTGTAGTTTTTCAATATTTCCCTTTCAGCTAAAGTCTTGAAATTTCTACACCAAATAGCGTTTTTCAATAGCTTCAGTTTCAGATACAGCACAACGTTCAGTGTTGGGTATTTCTGCTCATAACTCAGAAAAACTAAAATGCACTGGCTTCAATTTCCCCCCCTGAGTTAGCCTTCCAGTTTATTTATAGTTCAATGGGTGCTCCTCATCGCATTGTGAGTATCGTGGGGCATTCAATCCCTTTATCACCAAAACCGCGGAGTTGCCAAATAACAAATTTTATTCCCAAGCAGTTAAATTGCTGATGCAAATCTCATTTTCCAAATGAAACTAGGCAAATCCCCATGCAAGCTCTCAATTTGTATATGGTCGTTTCGTGCCCTTCTGTCTGAATTCATCTATCTGAATTCTTTTGCCAATTATATGATATTAGACTTTAGATATTTAGATATCTTTCATTGCACTTCGATAATAGGTGTTAATGAATGAATATCGTTCGTCCATCGCGCTTACGATATTGTTCGTCCATCGCTTACGAATACATGCATTCTGAAGGTATTTTATTGCCTGAACAGAGATTTGTTCGTTTGTTTGACAATATGAAAAACGAATTGAAACTTGTATTTTTTATGGACTTCCAATGCCTTTTCCAAGGCCCAAGGGAGAAAAATCTATTTATTTGATACATGAAAGTTTAATGTCTTTAAAATATTTAAAAAATCTTTTCAAACGGGTCCATCAGACGTTTCACTATTTGTCCGATAGTTTGATTGCAGTGTACATATAAAACATAACTCAGTCATCACTTATTTTGTACGTGCATTAAAGCCTGGTTTCCATATATTCGTAAAAATAGAGTCGCGAGCTTTCGCAACGGCCAGTTTATAATAACTTTATACCTGTAAAACACATTTAAATCATAAGTATTCTCTAGTTATAATCACTCCTCGTATTTTCAGTTCTAAAGTGTTGTATTTCGGCTGATGAGAAAGATTGTGACATCAATCTTTACGACCATATGACCAGGCTTAAGTAACATGCAAAATAAGTTCTTTAAAGATAAATTAGACATCGATCATAGATATCAAGTACATTAAAGATTTCATATATCAAATATGGTTTCTGAAACTTTCACCTCGCATATTTAAAACTTTAATTATGTTCGTCCCCCTCCTCCCCCGTTCAATGTTGCTGCCATAAAAATAAACAAAAACGAGACGTATTCTGGCTTCAACGCAACACTAAATTTGTCCCATAATATTGTTAAAGATTGTCTGGAATCTAGTTTTCTTTCATACTTTAGATCAATAGTTATTCAGCACTGTTATCGCCTGTTAAATACTGCTGTCCATTCTAAGGATACCTGTGAATGTCTGTCATCTCTCTAATGACGTTCGCAGATTTGTGTCTATCTGAATAAGATAATGTTTCGAGAAAGTGTCGACTGCCTTGAAGCATAGTTAGCCCTGGCCAAACAAGAACGAGAGTCGCGCATTGTTACTGCAGGGGACATTTCAATCTCTAGATTAATAAAGTAAAGGTTTGATAAGTGCTCCAAATATGTTTGAGCTTAAATAAATACATGATAGTGTTGATAACGCATCTGGAACAGACTTGAGACAACCAAGTTCGCGTGACTGCCAACTATCGTGGACTCTAATCCTCGCTTGATCTGGTATGGGCTTTAATACTTGAAGACGAAGTTCAGCTGGACAAGACCGCTGCAGCTGTACAATACATTAAGTTGAATGTTTAATACATCAGAAGGCATCTATTTTATCTGATGTACAAACATGTTGCATACTTCTGCGCCATTTATAGTAAATATTTACCAGAAGTAGCTAGAATTCGATTTCCGCTCAATGACTAAATACCCTGAGCAGGGTTCGTAGGTCAAGTCTAAATTTGCATTGTAAACTAGGTTAGGTCTTTGTAAGGAAATCGCGAGGGTGGGTGTTATGACGTGTGCAAAATGCTAAATAGCGTCGAAATCGCTTGTTTGAATAATTTAGTTACAAGTATGGATGCTCTATAGCACGAATGGTCTGTGTTTAAGCTGTTTGAGTAGGTTCAACCTGGTTAGAATTGATTGTACACTAAAGTAAAGCAATGAGCGAGAATAATTATGAAGTGGTTTTATCTGGTGGAGGTCCTTTCGGCTTTCGGCTACAAGGAGGCAAGGAATTCGGCAGAGGGTTGGCCATACAGTCGGTAGGTTTCATACATGGACTCGTTTAGTGCTTAATATCTCGTTAACTCAAGTAAATCCTCCTATTCCATTGTATTTTAGTCGCATTTTTTATATTTTTATATTCGCCGTAAGTGACAGATACATATGTCTGCGAGTTAATAGCTCTGTCTGGCAGCACGCTATGATGAGACGCCTTATGTTTTGACTGTGTAGAGCTATTTGAAATATTTTAGACTCATTTCGATAATTGTAGAGTAAATATGAGTGAGTGAGTGAGAATTCATTCAAGTTTGCTTTCAAATTAATAACCGGCCAAATGAAATCGAAAATATAGCTAATTTAGTTTTTTATGTGTTAAAGTAATCAACGACTATAGGCTACATCAATTGTTTGCACAGTCAGTTATAACATAGGCATAGCTTAAACTATTATGGTCGAGTTCTTTATGACGTGATATTTATTTTACAGCTATTTTAAATATTTCAGACTGATTTCGACAAATTTGAGTAAATGTGAATGATTTCTATATAAGTTTTTGTGAGGCGAATGACAGATTTGCCCCTATAACTTGCTGCTCATGAGCGAAACGAAGGTATAGCTAGCCTTAACACTGCGTACATGCGTCGAAGTGTTGGACGCTTTCTCGGCTTCAAAATATTTATTTAAACCAGGGAGCGTCCGGAAAATTTAATATGAAAGCGCTGGTTTCGCTACAACTTTGTCTATATAACTATAAGATTCAATAACACGGCTATGTTTTAAACAACGCCGTCCATACTTATGCATGGGGGGTCGATCGTTCGGTTGAATTGGTCCGAGGATTCCACGAGATTCCACGATATTCTGAGTTTAGCGAAGTTGATTTAACTAATAACACAGCGATAAAGAATGTAAATTATTTGGTTTTACAATATCATTGAGATTATTTTAATTTAATGAACTCGTATATAAATAATGAAACTCTTTGTATCTTCTGTCTGCCAAGAAACTATTGTTACAGTTAAATATACTAGTAACCAAGATTTTCTTGATAATGACCGAATTTTAAAGCTTTATTAATATTAGCTAAGAAATTGTTTCAATACAATTTTCGTGGGATTAATTTGGCCCCAATGCACAAGTTTAATACTCAAATTATCAAGAATTACAAAATCAAATTACAGACTCTCAATTTTGCCCAAAATGTAGCTATACTCAAAAAAATTGTGTTTGACTAGTTTGAAGATCTTTAAAGAGGAAAGACAATTATTTCTCAATTTAATGTCGATATGGGATACCAAAAACATGTAATATTGTGTTTGCAATGTGGCCTATAAACGTATAAATATAACGTATCGCTGTCGTTCCCTCTGCCTGTAGTGACGTAGATCTCCATTTTACCGACAGTAATTTCACAATAGTCAATACAGCAATTAATTAAGTTGAGTGATCTGTTTGAGTATATTATAAGCTAGGGCAGAAACTACGGTGCTTAGATCTACAGTAATGCAGGATTGCAGGTTGTGGTGTATGAGTTATTTGAGATCACCTAATGCCAGGTCTAAGGACATTCTGCAAGAATTAGGCTGGCAACCATTGATGGAAAGAAAACAAGCCGGCATCAGTTATGCATAAAGTTACAAAAGGCGAATGTTTAGGGAATCACAAATATGTTCAAAATTATAATTTGCGCAATAGCGATTCCTTTTAGAACTAATTTTCTTTTAAAAAGCATAAGTTATATATTTGGGTGCGAACATTTGGAACGAATTGCCCACTGAACTAAATGTGGTATTAACTGGTGGTGTATTACTACCATTTATTATATAATGTATAGTGCTTTAAAGAGATTTCGAGCACTGATAAAAGTGATAATTCACATGTCAGATTATTTATGATAATCTCACATGTGAAAATTATCGCTTTTCAATTTTCGCTTTTCTGTAAAAAATATCGCTTTTCAAAGACTGTCCTTTATATAATAAACAGAAAAATACATGGGTGCTTGGAAATACCAGATTTATTTCTCGTGTTGAACCTGATATTTCACTCGTGAGATATCATGTTCAACACTCGAAATAAATCTGGTATTTCCAAGCACCCATGTATTATTCTCTATATAAAAGCTTGCGTGCTTATAGAGAGAGTCACAGTTAAATTCCTAATTAATGTTTTGTACGAGGTTTTGTATATTATGTAAATAGATAAGAATTAGTGTATTTATTGGTAGATATGTGGATATAGACGTAAAATTTGTTTGTACTTTGTTAACTGTGTTAGGGTCATTAATTCTCTCGCTATCTACAGACCTTTGCCAAAAATAATTCCTAGAATTGGAATCTTTCTTTTCATAAACCGCTTCAAAACATGGAGCTAAAATTGGTCTGTGCCGAGGATTTCACGTTGTTTGGACAGTTAATTCGCGTGTTACATTTTTGCCAAACATTTGACTGGAATTTGCTGCTGCAGTGAAAGTTTCACTGTCCGCATGAAAAACGCTGTAACTCAAAACTTTGTAATTCAAAACGGTTGTAACTCGCGCCCTGACCGTCGAAAACAACGTGACATTTTCGTTATAGATTAATATGAGCCATTCGTAATATGAACCATTTCCGTTATAGATTAATATGAGCCATGAGGCAATTTCTATTTTTGCCAAATATCAAGATGAAAAATTGACACTTGCTGTCTTGGACCGGAAAATACCCCAAAACAAAGGTCTTTATTTGTGTTATATTTTTTTGTTCTGTAATAGTGTGTGTTTTGGTTTGTTTCAGATTACATCCGGTGGCAAAGCGGATGGTAAAGGAATATGTTCCGGTGACAGCTTGATAGCTATAAACGGTCAGACCACAGAAGGCATGACACACATTGAAGCTCAAAATGCCATCAAACGCTCTCAAACATTGAAACTAAATCTCAACAGGTAAAGGGCTCTGTGTGATATGTGGGTGTGATCTTGATAATTGTTGCCGGAAGTATTTTTGTAATTTCCTGTTACGTGGCGACCAATTTAAAGGTATTTTTGGCGCAACGAAAACGGCAATTTACCGGGCATTCCATTTATTCATTTATTCATTCATTCACCGCAAATGCGCGACAAGAAGACAACAATTATCAGGATGTTTGGCGTGTTGTTTTGCTGGAAATTTATAGCTTTGTAGATGGCATCACTTAGTAAGTATTTGTGCATGAACTTGTGGTTAGAGCTCGACAACTGTCTCTCTGTAGCTCAGTTGGTTAAGCCTGGTTTCCATATGGTTGTAACTGTCGTGACACTGTCGCAAGTTAATTTCTCACCCAGGGATCATACAAGCAGCTGCCGGCAGTTTTAAAAAGAGGACCTTTGTCCATCGGCGTACGGGAACGGAAAAATTAGGGGGGCAGAACGAAATTTGCCCGACTTTTGAATTTTGCCCGACCAGTCAAATACCCTATTTCCCTGCTGGCAGAGGTCTCTATTTGTGCTGGAAGCGAAGGAGAAGAGACCTCTGCCTAGATCTGACACGTTTTCTGTCGCGCATGTGCACAAATTGCCATGACAACGAGTGATGTTCACCACGTGATATCAAACCGGTTTTTGCGAGAGCAACTTGGTATTAATTCAAAGACTTACCGTAGTTTGAAGGCAAACAAATGTATCTCGGCCCGATAAAACAGAAAAGATTGCTTTCTTTTGTTCTTCTGTCATAAATGCCAGCAGGGAAAAACCCTATGCTAAACTTCGCAAACTTTCGAAAAGCTAAACATCTTTCGCCATGTTGCCCTATTTTCTTGCATTTTTTACTATTATCTTACATATTTCTTGTTTTTCAGTTTATTTTCCCCACTTTTTCCCAACTTACGTTCAACATTTGCCCGACTTACGTTCAAAATTTGCCCAACTTATTAACATTTCAATTTTTCGGGGGGGGGGGGGCAGCTGCCTAGCCTCGTATGCCTATGCCTTTGTCCTCCCTGCTGATTGTCGCAAACTGTTGCCAGGCTGTCGTTTTTCTGTTGCCATTAAAAAAATAACCATCACGACACGTTTTTATCCTGTCGCAACTGTCGTCGAGATAGAACTCAAGTCTATCTCGACGACGCTGTTGTAACTGTCGTGAACTGTTGCCAGTTTGTCGCGACAAGACTTTTCTTCATGTTTCCATTTGGTCGCGAACACTACTCTGACGACAGTTACAACACGTTCGCGACAGTTACGACCATATGGAAACCAGGCTTTAGAGCGCTGCACCGGAATTGCAGGGCCGCAGGTTCGATTCCTACCAGAGGGCCGATAGTTGGATTTTTCGCAACCGTGCTCCTGGTTAGGTCTAAAGCCTGGTTTCCGCATGGTCGTAACTGTCGCGAACGTGTTGTAACTGTCGTCAGAGTAGTGTTCGCGACCAAATGGAAACATGAAGAAAGTCTTGTCGCGACACGCTGGCAACAGTTCGCGACAGTTACAACAGTGTCGTCGAGATAGACTCGCATTCTATCTCGAGTCGATGACAGTTGCGACAGGCCAAAAACGTGTCGTGTTATTTTTTAATGGAAACAGAAAAACGACAGCGTGGCTACAGGTTGTCTTCTCAAACCTGCCGCCAGCTGCTTTTACGATCCCTTGGAAACGAAATTAACTTGCGACAGTGCACGACAGTTACAACCATATTGAAACAAGCATAAAATCCCGGCGTGGATTGCCACTCAGAGTAACATCACACTGCCCGGTGTGGATGTATACTCAGAGTAACATCACACAAGCATCTTATTCACCTGAGTACATTACACCAACGCAGCAAATTTCAAGCATAAAATCAATAATAACATAATAACATTAATGCTCCACAAACATTTAAAAGTTACGTGTCACTCGTGTCGTCATAAAATGTGTTGTAAATAATGTAATTTTTTTATATATATACATATTATTAGGGACCCTGCGAATGGAGCAATAAGCTCTGTAGGGCTAACCTGTCATTTACACAGATATCTTATATACACTAGATAGCGCATCTCTTTTAGTAAAATTGAAGCCAAGAATATTCCAGCGGTTACCCCCATTTGAATAGATGGCGGCCATGTTGGTCGTTCCCACTTGCTAATAAACGCTTAAAAACAACAATAACTTCATCATTTGAGTAGTTTAATAACGTATTTGCATGGAATAGGGTTAACTTAATGTTTAAGCTCCCTGTTTAAGAAATAGAAAACATACGAATCTTCTCATTTCATGGGAACGACCTGAGACTGTAATCACGGCTTCAATTTTTGATTTGCAGAATAATTACATGTGTATATAAGATATCTATGGTCATTTATGACTAAGTTTGTAAAAAAAAAATCATCCACGACATATACTTCACGACACGTTCGCGACAGTTACAACCATATGGAAACCAGGCTTAACAATGTATGAAAAATTCCACCGCTAAATTTCCATCTACAAATCCATGGAAAACAATTGCCTGTTATTATGAATAATTTCCAAATATTAATGTTAAATCCGGTCTAAACGTCTCGAAAACGTAAATCTTGCAAAGTGCACCGAGTGTCACTGACGATACCTATATAGGCTATACTCAGTCGGGATTACCAGAATGTCTTCTTACATCCCGTTTAACAACTTGAATATTTTCGTATTTAGGAAGGCTGGCAACCTGGCAGCATCAATGGGTAAAAAGGATGCGGTGGTTACAGTTGAAACGACACACTCGGCAAAAGTCGACTACAAATACAACCCCAAACCTAAGCCTTTTGGAGCCCCAAAACCTGCTCCAGCTCCTGTGAAATCACCAACACCGTAAGTTCTCAAGAGTAAAATATTTGACATGCATATTTTCGATCTTCTCCATTCGAAACGGTTTCAAGCACTATGTCAGATTTCGAGAAATAACAATTTGATGTCAGCACTCTATAAATGCCAGAAATGAAACGAGCATGTCAAAGGTAGTAAGTGCAGGCACAAAATTTTGAGGTTATATTTAAATTTAAAATTGTGGCATTAGTTTTATTTCAAAAAGCATGTCCGTCAAACCTCGATCCCCGCCATACACTGAAAAATCGTTTAACCTGTTTTCGTCTACTCACTTCCTTAATGAGACAATTCTATATGCAGCGCTAACAAATTTACATGCAACAGTTTTCTTTTCTATTTCTGGACTAAATTATTCGAAAAGGCGCATTCGTTGTACCAAAGTCCAGAAATTATGAGCCCTGTTGCATGTACACGTTCGTATGGTTGCCTACTAAATCAGCAGAATTTGTTTGCAAACTTATCATCATCAACGCTTGGGAATCTGAGTCACTGGTGATACAGATCAAAAGCTACCGGCAAACGCTCGGAAATTTGTGTGATCAGTTTATCCGACAAAATCAGTTCGAAGCGTTTTATATACCTATATAAGTTGAAAACTTACATTTATAGAATCCACTTAAGTGTGTGCTCCTCCCGTTCCTTTATTTTGATTGAGGGCAGCGGAAGCATCCACTAATTATGGCGGTACATCATGCGTGCTGAGCATTGCGCAGTTAAATTGCGTGTAGCGGTGTAGGCGTTAGGGTGATGGTCAACACTTATTTAAGGGTACTGAGGATGGCAATTGAGACACCAGCCCTGTATCCAACCCCTGCCAGTTAGAGTCTTTTTGTAATTTGTAATATTTGTGTGTATGCGTGGTATGTACGTTATTGGCAAATTTAATAAATTCAAATACTTAATTAAGGATAAAAATAATAATAATTCTAATAAAAAGTGCATTATCTGAAAATCACGGGCCTCTTGAAAGCCCGGGCCTGTAGGCTACTGGGTAATTCACCACTGTGTATCGCATGATACATATGGAATACGCAAGACTCTCTCCAGCTTGACAGGTAGAATTGTCTGGCGTTAGACAGAGTAAAATAATAAGGAATAGGGCGCAGTTGGATAGAGAAATTACTTCTTGTTGATTCCTTCAAAATACGCTGACAAATTTCGCTCATTTCATCGTTAAATTTCTTCAGTAAACCCGCACCACCCGTAGAAAAGAAGGACGACAATTTGGAGGACTCAGAGGTTTTAAAAATGTTACGAAGTTCGAACATTTCTGAACAGGGGACAGGATTGCGACGTACGGACCACGGGCGTCGGATAAGCAGGGGATCTGATAACAATGATGAAGGTAACCTTGATTGTCGCTAATTTGGTATAGAAAATAGTATGGTTTCGAATGCAATTTGGAAAAAAAACCTGCACGATTGAGTTTTTCAAAGAGCAACCGAAGGACGAGTGCTATTTGTTGTCTTTGAAAAACTCAAGAGTTCTTGCTTATCCAAATTTCACGAGAAACCATCTTATTACGTAAAATAAACATAAAAATGTTCGAGACAATTTTAACGTACGTTGATGCCGCGAACCGTCCACTGACAAATCACATTATGCAACGCTAACGGTTTGAAAATTTCACTCAACTATTGTTAGTTTTGTTTCCATTTTTAAAAAAGATAAATGTCATACTTTCCACCCGAAGTCAACTTCTACTTTATGTAGCGCGGCCGCCATGCTTGTTTTGTTTTGAAGCAATGGCTGTGGCCTTTACTCGAGGATTGCTTTAATTAAGCTGATTGGTTGATTTTATCTTCGCATTGTTTTTCCAACAATCAGATCAGTTTGTTACAGATTTTCGCACTGTTGTAACAGATTGTTGCACTGTTATTACAGAATTTTGCACTGCTGTTTGAGATCAACTGCACTGAAATCAAGAAATGTTAGCCAATAAATTTTATATTTTTGTTATGTCTTGTCTGAAAGTCATTTGCTGGGCTTTAATTTTCATTTTTAAATCACAGTCGAGTATAATATTTTTTAATGTAGGTAATAGCATGGTTTCTCGTGCAATTTGGAAAAAAACATGTACGAGTGAGTTTTTCAAAGACGATCAAAATTGCGCAAGTCCGAAAATCTTTGAAAAACTCACGAGTGTATGTTTTTTCCAAATTGCACGAGAGACCATACTATTTGTTAATAATATACATGAAAAGTTCACACTCTTCGATAACACCCCGTGCACTCCCCTACGCCATTTCAGCATTGTTTTCATTGCTTGTTAGCAAACCTTCTCAATTGATTGTGCTCCTTGTACTTAAATTGTTATATTCACGTACGATTTTCCATTGAAAGTGTGCAAAAAGTCGTCAAAAAAGTGAAAATTTATATTGCTACTATATCTGCCGTCATGTTGGTTTTTCTACCTCGTTTCCAGGCTCTGCACTTGTTTTGTTACTAGCACTGCAGTGATTGCACAGTCTGCCTTTTGCAAAAATAGTTGCACTGCCCTTAGCCAATCAGAATTGAGTAATTTTTTTCATCTGTATATATTATGTATATTATTACACTTTATAAATTGTAAATTAATTTAAACTAAAATGATTGCCGATTATTTCGTTTCAGACCTACCTCCGCCCCCTCCCGAAGCATATGAAGAAGAAAATATCGGTCCTCAATCAAAAACGTTTCGTTTACTGGAGAAAAGCATCAACTCTGGAGGTACACTGTCATCCTTATCGTGGGATATATATATATATATATATATATATATATATATATATATATATATATATATATATATATATATATATATATATATATGCTTGAAGGGTCTTGTAGATGGAAATTATCGAGTGTAAATTTATATACATTTAATAATAATAAATATCAAGATTTTCTTGGCATCTCACTCGATTGATTACTACCCTTCGAGTTGCCAGACCGCCGCTTTACCCATTGAGCTATCGAGTCAGCGTGCACGAAATATTTGAAAATAATAAAGGCTTATTGACCCAGCGTGAGGTCTGTACTGTGAAATATCAGACCGAAGTTTTTTAGTATGGACCGAGCGACAAGGAGCGAGGTCCATGAAAAAAACAGAGGTCTGATATTTCACAGTACAGACCGAACAAGCGAGATCAAAAATCGGTTTATTATATGGCTGAACTGAGTCTGAGAGCATATGCTTTTCGCGCGAATTAAATCGGCTATCGTCAGTTTCACTGGGTAACAATATACGGTAGGCATGCATGCTCAATCAAAAACAATTTGGTTGTTTGAAATTTTTATCTGTAAATTTTAATGACACAGTTGGAAAATTAAAAAGCAAAAAAATTGTCTGTTTGCAAAGCAAAAATTTCCCGCCAGATAAACGACATCCGGGACACCGGTCCAGATACGGAAAATACGGACCACGGTCGGACAAAGTACGGGCCAAGGATGGTTCTGGAATAGAATTGAAACACTGTGCATCCTCCAACAAAATAAAGCCGACAAAATAAAGCCACTTAATTAATGTTTTTTTCAACCCGAGTTGATATTACCAGTCCAGGATGAAATATTCAGCCGGGATAGCTGCAACCGGGCTGAAATTTCAGCACGAGATGAAACTCGGTCCAGGCTGAAATTTTTGCCAAGCTGTGTTTTAATGGAATGAGTAAATCAGCCCCTCATTGCCCCCATAAAATGGTCACCAGCAGGAATTTGAGCTCCAACACATAATTTTGACATTACTGTTTTCCTTTTTTATTTCAGAGGACCACCCGAGTGCACTGAGTCGCCCATCCGCTAACCCACCTACAACGACTCGTATTTCCGCCCCGAAACCTTACAGCCCACCAAGTCACAGTAGACCGCCTCAGGCAATTACGGTTCACACTGGATCACCACCTGCGCCCGCGTACAACAAGCCAGCGAGATCCTATGGCGGAGCTCCGGCCCCTGAAGCTCCGGCTGCTCCGGTGTCTCATCCTGCACAACCTACGCCTGCACAACCCAGGGTCAACGCGCCACCTCAGAAAAAACCTGGTACTCCAAGTTGCGAACATTGTGGGGAAGTTATTCAGTAAGTAAAGGAAGACTTAAAATTGACCGTAAAAACTGTTTTAAAAAACCCAATAGAAGCAACTTTAGCGAACTTAAGCAAGACGTAATCTAGTATACAGGGACCTGACAAGAAACAGCTTAAAGAACTACTGTTATTAAGAACCTCGACAAGCAGGATGAAAGTACAACGAGGACGCGTAATAATATCATATTAATGCAAGAAAATGCGCAGAAAAGAACAACTAAAATTCCACGGAAGTTTTGACGTCGCCGTTGCTCTGTATACAACGCTTACATTTCAAGCTGGGACAACTGCTACTTTCAATAGGCAATTCCAGCTTTTAGTTTATGTGTGCAGGGGACAATGGGAAGTAAGTTATCATATTGCTGATTATGCTGAAAAAATAGAAATGGTGGCCGTGGAAACACAGAGTGATAGCTTATACTTGTAAATATTGAAATATTTCGGTTGTTTCGGTAGTTTTATTGAAAATTTTCAGCATAATCAGCACTTTGATACCTTACTTCCCATCATCCCCTGCAGGCAAGAACTAAAAGCTGGAATTGCCTATCGGGTCCTAGAACTTTTCTCAATCATAAGCACTGTGTTAACGTTGATCCTTAAACTTTTTTTTCTTCCATACGATGGATAATAGACGACAGGTTTTCTTCTGCAACATGTGGTTCAACGAGTTTGTTTACCATCGCCGTCGCATTCGATTCCCGTCCTAGTAGTTCTACCACGGCGGCAACAACTTGTTGAACTAAATGGTTGTACGGAAAACCTGTCATCTATTATCCATCGTATGGAATTAATACGGTTTATTAAGGATCGAGGTTAAGACATGGATTTATGGTCGAGAAGAGTACTAGGATCCAATTTGAAATAACCGTTGACCCATGTAGCCGTTGTATACAAGACATGATAATCTGTGATTCGCTATTAAACAAAACCAGCACGATTTTAATAATTAATAATTTATTTTCTACAATATCAATAATTATGATATGGTAGCGCTGTTAGCTCAGCCGTCCTATACCTGCTTAAGGTTGCTCCTATTGGGTTTTTGCACCGATCAAATTTGACCGATCAAATTTTGAACCGATCAAATTTGCGTTGTCTGCGCGAGAAAATCGCACGTGTAACCTATAGGCTCAGTAAGGTCTATATATCTGAGCAAGAATAACTTCAATCATTCAGTCCATGAGAAAACTGAAGCCACGATAGCCGAAATTGACGTCCAAAACCTATAAAAGTCGTGAACAGTTTTCATACCATTTTCCCAGCTAATTCTAGTTTTTTCTAGCGGATCATATCGCTAATCAAGATACCAGAAACCATTGTATTATCTTTTTAAATCAAGGTCAAAATACGAAATTCCGGCACATTCCCCACAGCTTCGTGTTAACCGCGCAGACAAAGACAATAGAAATTGGGACTGGACCTGACGTCCAATATTGCCATCACTTTTTGGACTGGAATTCCCACTCCAGATATATACGGAGCTCACTGGCCTATTCTAAGGAATTCCTAGAAATCTTTAAATTGTTATGTTTTTGTATACTGTAGAACATAATGACCACATACATACAGGGTGTCCCCCAAAAAGTAAACCCTTTCAAATTCAAATCAGCCATAACCTGTTGTAGTAATTCGCTGATGCGACACAAATGACAACCTCGTTCCCAGGCTCTTCCCTCTTGTGGAGGAAAGAAGTACACTTTCTTTTCTGGACACGAAAGTATTGAATATTGGAATTATTACTGGAACTTGGCATATATTTGGCCAATCTTTGTTTGTGCCTTTGCTCATTTTGTTGCAAAGGCATTTTGGAATTCTCGACTTTATATTTCATTTACTTCGCTCCTTCAGCACATCTAAAACAAAGATGAAATTTATTTCAAACTTCAAATTTCAATACTGCGCACTTTCGCATTCAATACTGCACACTTTTTATTCAATACTGCACACTAAAATATGTTCTGCACTGACTAGTCTTTACATTTTTTATCAGGGGACCTTTTGTGAGTGCTCTTGGTCGTAACTGGCATCCTGATCACTTCCGTTGCGGAGGCTGCCAATGCTCGCTACAGAATATTGGATTTGTTGAAGAAGGTGGTCTCATGTTTTGTGAGAATTGCTATAATCATAGATTTGCACCGAAGTGCGCTTCTTGTAATCAGCCTATCATTGGGGTAAGTATAAACATAAATAATCTGTCGTTGGTTTTATGCTCTGGCTAGACGAGAACAAGAGTTGCATGAGAGTTGACTGGATACCATTGAAATGAATATAACTGGAATGCTACCTTCAGATAAACTGCCTATCCTGTCAAGTGAAATTCCTGACCTCTGCGAAATACCTGACCAAGCGTAACGGGTCAGAAATTTCGCGCGTGCAGGCACGAAATACATGACGCTTGCTAAATTCTATGTCGGCCAAAACTGTTTTTTAGAGTTTAGATAAAATAATCATGATGTTAATTTCTAATACTTAAATATTTCAAGTCGACATCGCTAAGTTTCAATCATAAACACTTTGAATTTCAAAGCGAATTGTGTGGTCGTGACCGCGAAATACACGACGTTTGCTAAATACAATCGGTCGAAACGATTTTTAAGTCCATATGCAAAGTTACCAAATGTTTCTAATATAGACATCGCCAAATCTAAACTGCCAACTCACGAACTCATTGTTGCTGCTTGCTAAATAGTGAGAATCAAGAAGGTCAAACGCGAAACGATTTTTGGTGCTTATAGTATACAAATAATGAATGTTTCTTCGTGCAATGGTAAGAATATTTTCATGAGGTGAAAGATGGAATGTTCCATTCAACGAGGCGACAGCCGAGTTGAATGGAACATTCCATCTTTCACCGAATGAAAATATTCTTACTATTGCACGAAGAAACATTCGTTATTTGTTTTATATAATACCAAAAGTCCAGAACAGACTAATAGATTAGTATGAGAAGCATTTTGAGGGATGCGATTTATCGAAAACACAAAGAGTGCAATTGTACTATACGTTTTATTCCATTGCACTCGCGGAGAGTGCAATGGAACGCGTTCCATTGCACTCTTGGGAAATGGAATTTTCTATTCAATATCACGTGACCATAAACAGCCAATTAAATGATTAGAATTTAATAAGGTATTATATAATAATGCATATAGCATAACCTTTGAAACTGGTGTCTATTTTACATCACTATAAGAGCGCTTTTGGAGTGACTTTTTCCATATCTGTGATTCAAGCTTTATTATCTCTGAACGCTAACGTTCACAATCAGTGGTATAGTGTCAATTCATTTGATCAATTGTAGAATTGATGCAGGGCCGTAGCGAGGGGGTATTGGGGGGTTAATTGTAGATTATGGTGAGAAATCAGGTTAGCCATTCGGAAAATTACGGCAATAGGTATAGCATTTAGTTAGTTAAGCAAATAAAATATTATTGTCATGATTCAAACTGGTTGAAAATGGATAACGTAAAACAAATCGGAAATCGGTAAATGTTTTTCGGTTTATTACTTCGCAAGGCCGTAGCAGTCGGGAGGAGGGAGGGGAGGGACTGGGGGCAGCAGCCCTTACGATAATTTGCTGATAATCATTCTTTTTTCAAAATCATGCACACCTTTATCATTTATAAATAATATACCTTTAAAATACTGACAATAGACTAGAGGTGTGCATCGGATCGGATTGTCCAGTCCGACAATTGCCTAATGTTTAAAATCCGATCCGATATTGTCTAATCCGAATCCGATCCGAGTTTTGAAAAAGAATTCCGATCCGATCCGAAGAATTCTTTAATAAAATAAATTTCTCATTCAAGTTGAAATATTTAACCAAATAAATATAAAAGCAAGAAATACATATCAAGAAGCTAACAAAGTGACGTCCAATTGAAGTATCAAACGAATAATGCAGCGACAACCGCGATGATACTTTGATAAATGCATGGATAATAATAATAATAATATTTATTCAGGAAGCTCCACTCACCGAAGTGGTTTTCAGGGAGGCATGGATAATTAATTCATTTTATTAATTTCGGATATCGAAGTCCGATCTCGGATCCGATTACGAAACAACTTTATATCAATCCGTTCCGAAATAGTTATATTTTGGTTCCTGGACAAAAATTTCACCACAGCTTGAAAGAGCATCTGAAAATTAGTAATATTCCGAAGTTTCGTTGAATGTTGTAAAATGCGGATAATATAGCCTTGCGAAGTTTGCCGTTTTTTAGTCATTTTGCATTACAAACGGGAAATTGATAATCAGTAGATGATCAAACAGGTGATTATCAATTTCCCATTTGTAACTTACAATGACTGAAAAACGGCAAACTTCGCAAGGCTATATATTATCTGCATTTTACAACATTTCGCAACGAAACTTCGGAATATTACTAATATTGTGACGCTCTTTCAAGCTGTGATGAAATTTTTGTCTAGGCTTGCCTTTTTGTCTAGGCTTGTCTTCCCCAAAGTCCAGGAAATGGCATTTCAGGGAATCTAAATTTAAAAATTTCCTCGGGCCTTCGGCCCTCGTTCCCAGCCCCAATAAAAAAGAGCTTCTTACGGCACTGCATGCTTCTGTAATATGTCTTTGCGTAAACTATGTGTATTTTTGTTTGTAAATTGCATCTTCATTTTCCAGATAGCAACGCCTTCGTGGCTTCGTATGCCATGAAATATTCTGATTTTTTTTTCGTCATTCGGAAATTTTACATTTCTAACTATACATGCTAGCTACGGCCCTGAATTGATGTTTGAAAATTTATGTATAAATAAAATGACTTTATAAATACACGTGTTGTCTGTTGAGTTGCGAAATTTATGAGCCAAAGTCATTCATGCGCATCGTCTGCGCATGGGCAGTTCTACAATAGTCAGATATTTCGCAAGTCAGGAATTTCGCGTCACACCGGAAGTCAGATCACGCGTGTTTATGTCATGATTGACAATCTCGAAACCAGAGCCTGCAATCCTCTGAGGAGGTTTGCTGAGGCTCTGGGAAACACCAGCGAAAGTCGGCCTCTGATTGGTTGTTTTTCAAGTGCTAATTATTATTCAAACCGTGAGCCGTATTTAGTGATTCAAATTTCAAACATCGTTTAAAATTAATATAAAGTTTATTTCTTTTTGTGTATTATGTTTAAACATACCAATGAAACATTGAAACACACAGCATAACATTAATAAACTTATTAAGCTTTCCTAGCTTCTCGTATGAAATCAAAAGACTATTCTATTTCTGATATTGATATGCTATAAATAACAAAATTAGAATAACAACAGTGCAGCATTACCATATTAGGTCATGATAAGCCGTTGCCTATAATATTTAAAATAACACAACAATCCATGATTTACCGTAATTAAACAAGTTAAAATAAATCACTACCAGTATCTTACAACAATTCAAAACCATGGCAAGTGTTCTTTGAAGAATTAAAGTCGTAATAAACTTAAACAACGGCATAAATTATGTTTGACGGCAGTAATGTCTATTTATAAATGTCGAGCGGAGTACTGGATCCAAATGTACTGATTTTCGTGCAAAAGTCGCCGGTGTTTCCCAGAGCCTCAGCAAGCCTCCACAGAGGATTGCGGGCTCTGGTTTCGAGATTGACTGATTGACTGATTGAGCGGACTGGCCTTCAAGTTGGGCTTCAAATTTCCGGTTGGAGGTAGCGTTCCAGTTCTATTCACTGCAATGCTATATAATATATATATATATATATATATATATATATATATATATATATATATATATATATATATATATATATATATATATATATATATATATATATATATATATATAATACGATTCATTTTCTCTGTTGTAGGTAAGTGTGAAAGCTTTAGGAAAGGTCTACCACCAAGACCACTTCACGTGCAATCACTGTGGTAAACAGTTAGCAGGCGAGGGATTCCATGTGGAAAATGGAGACCCATACTGCAGTCAAGATTATAAAGAATTATTCTGCGTTAAGTGTTACTCTTGTAAGCAGATTATCAGGGCGGGAGACCGCTGGATGGAGGCTGTAAACCAGAAATGGCATGCTGATTGTTTCAGGTGTATGGTAAGTTATCTTGCAATTTGTACGCGTTAGCAGAAGAGTGGCAAATTGCTCTCTTCGGTGTCGCAATCGTCAGAGCATGCGCATTTCTCTTCTGAGATCTTGGGTTCCATTGTCGCTATAGCCTGCATGGCAGGCGGTATTTCTACGGGCAGCGAAAATTAGGGAAGCAAAGGAAATACCGTCTGCCGCAAAACTAGGGGTTTTTGAATTACCCGTCCGCTGGTGAACGGGAAAAACGAATTGGTTAGTATTTTTATGTAGTTGTCAATCAACGGCTAAATTCGGTTAAATGTTAATCATTAACCAAATGTTTTGACGTTTTGAAACTCTGCGTTTTGAAATTAGTTCACGTCAAGTCAGACCAGAAATGGAATAACACAATAAAAGAAGCAAATTAAAAGATACAAGCTGAAAAATAACACTCTAAATAGTGTTATTGATAGAGATTCGAACAAGAATATTTAACAAAGAAGATACGTCCGAAGCCGAAGGGGCCGAAGTTATATGATCGGCGAAAGGTATGGGCTAGTCTATATATTTTCGTTCAGACAATTAATACATGCGTCTTAATTTGATAATATACGATCTCGCTTGACTTTCAAAGGCCATAAATCGCTATAATGTTGACATTTTACTAAAACTATCGATAGAAATTAGGAGATATTTCTTCACTGAATCGAACAGTGTGATTTCCATATAGGCCTATCAGTCATGTTCTGAACCAAAGATACTTGATAGATATTATATACGAACCTCCAAAGTATAAACAAGGGGCCGGTTGATGCAGTAATTATCAAATAACAGTTAAACTCTTATATACCCGTTGAATATGTATAGTTGTAAACAAATAAGAAACTATCGTTCTATAAGGTTCAAAACTTTCAGTTTGGTTGTTGACTGATGATGAATCTATAGTATAGACTTGCATTGAGCTTATTAAACCACCGTTTTAAGGCAGCTAAACGGGCTTGGTTTATATTAACACATAAAATAAATTCCTTGATTCTCATCACTAGACACAGTCTACACTTTGAAATATCGAAGACAGTGGGAGATTTATTTTTTATATTTTATATTTATATAATTTATATATCAATAGTTCGTATCTCAACGAACAATGACAGAATGACTGAGTTTCTTTAAAATACAATGAAATTTCACTCAAAATTCTGTTTGTTTCAAATTGGAAGTTTAAAATGGCAATAAAAACTCTATATAAAATATGAAAATATTAACTGTCTTGAATTATTTTGTCGGGCGGTACATTTATATTGTATAACGAAAAATAAAACGTTTTCACGAGGATTTTAAAATTCAGTCGGGCGGTGATGAGAATCAAGGAATTTATTTTATGTTGGGCAGTTGGGACTTGGGAGCAGCTTGGGAGTGGCTAATTTTGAACATTTACTTAATTAATGCATCTATAAATAGCGTTGATGCTTCAGGGGCGGTAGTTCATTTACACCCAGTTTTGCGGCAGGCGGTATTTCCTACGTACCGCCTGCCATGCAGGCTACAAAACTAGGGGTTTTTGAATTACCCGTCCGCTGGTGAACGGGAAAAACGGATTGGTTAGTATTTTTATGTAGTTGTCAATCAACGGCTAAATTTGGTTAAATGTTAATCATTAACCAAATGTTTTGACGTTTTGAAACCCTGCGTTTTGAAATTAGTTCACGTCAAGTCAGACCAGAAATGGAATAACATAATAAAAGAAGCAAATTAAAAGATACAAGCTGAAAAATAACACTCTAAATAGTGTTATTGATAGAGATTCGAACAAGAATATTTAACAAAGAAGATACGTCCGAAGGGGCCGAAGTTATGATCGGCGAAAGGTATGGGCTATCTATATTTTCGTTCAGACAATTATACATGCGTTAAATCTTTGATAATATACTATCTCGCTTGACTTTCAAAGGCCATAAATCGCAATAATGTTGACATTTTACTAAAACTATCGATAGAAATTAGGAGATATTTCTTCACTGAATCGAACAGTGGGATTTCCATATAGGCCTATCAGTCATGTTCTGAACCAAAGATACTTGATAGATATTATATACGAACCTCCAAAGTATAAACAAGGGGCCGGTTGATGCAGTAATTATCAAATAACAGTTAAACTCTTATATACCCGTTGAATATGTATAGTTGTAAACAAATAAAAACTATCGTTCTATAAGGTTCAATACTTTCAGTTTGGTTGTTGACTGATGATGAATCTATAGTATAGACTTGCATGCTTTGCATTTTGAGCTTATTAAACCACCGTTTTAAGGCAGCTAAACGGCTAAACGGGCTTGGTTTATATTAACACATAAAATAAATTCCTTGATTCTCATCACTAGACACAGTCTACACTTTGAAATGTCGAAGACAGTGGGAGATTTATTTTTTATATTTATATAATTTATATATCAATAGTTCGTATCTCCACGAACAATGACAGAATGACTGAGTTTCTTTAAAATACAATGAAACTTCACTCAAAATTCTGTTTGTTTCAAATTGGAAGTTTAAAATGGCAATAAAAACTCTATATAAAATATGAAAAAATTAACTGTCTTGAATTATTTTGTCGGACGGTACATTTATATTGTATAACGAAAAATAAAACGTTTTCACGAGGATTTTAAAATTCAGTCGGGCGGTGATGAGAATCAAGGAATTTATTTTATGTTGGGCAGTTGGGACTTGCGAGCAGCTTGGTAGTGGCTAATTTTGAATATTTACTTTGATTATGCATCTATAAATAGCGTTGATGCTTCAGGGGCGGTAGTTCATTTACACCCAGTTTTGCGGCAGGCGGTATTTCCTACGTACCGCCTGCCATGCAGGCTAACGTTTGCCGTAAACGTCGATCTTAAGGTCTCTATTGAGTTATATCAACACGGCTCTTAGCCAATCAGCGTTCAGAATTTACAAATGCTATATTATAAATTCAGTTAGTATATCATATTTTACAAATATAGTAGTTCGAAATGTAAACAAAGCGTTTGTTTACATTACGGACTTGACAGCATCTTTAAGTTCCGTGTTTAAGAAATAGAAAACATACGAATCTTCCACGGCTTCAATTTTTGAATTGTAGAATAATTAGATGCACCATCTAGTGTATAAAAGATATCTATGATTCAGTTCTGCAAAATATTTATAGCAAAATTACTACGTATCAGATTTGATTGACAGGCGTATACCGATTTCGACCAATGGGAATTTTGCGTTGTGTGGGCAACGCGTATTTCGTTTCTTGATGTGTTGTCGGCTAAACCTGCGGAAAGGAGGGACCGCTCGCAGTCTAGAATGTTTATCCTAATAACTATGTTTGTTATATAGCTAGTGTGAACACGAAACGTGATTGGCTGATTTGTAGTCACGTGGCTTTAGATAAATGCAATGTATCCCGCCCGGGCAATAAGTGAAAAATTATTGCCCGCCCCGACCGGCTACGTACATAAATAAACAAAATGGCGGCACAAATTTATACTATTTAAACTACTGTTTTCGTGGCTTTGTGTTAAAATAAAGAATGTAAAAGAGAAGAAAAATACATAACAGGCAACAGGGTACCCTGGATTCCAGAGCCTTCGACAGTAAATAATAAATTGAAGTGTCGCGAAGGCTCTGGTTCAACGGGGCGATTCTTTGATTAAGCCGCGCCAATCACAAAACAGAATTAGTGGTTTTAGTACAGATTCTGTACTAAAACCACTAATTCTGTTTTGTGATTGGCGCGGCTTAATCAAAGAATCGCCCCTTTGAACCAGAGCCTTCGCGACACTTCAATTTATTATTTACTGTCGAAGGCTCTGGAATCCAGGGTACAGGATATGCTGCTGAAACCATTTAAGTAAGATTTTTAAATTTTAAACTCGTTTACGCTATAGAGTTTTTGTCATGAAATACAAATGGGCCATTCCATTTAATATCCCCCTATGTACGAGGTCAATAAAATTTGAACCCCTAAGAAAAAAAGATCAAAGTGCCGACACAAACACCCCCCAGAAATTAAGAAATTTTTGCCTTACCCCTCGGAAAAAAACACGCAAAGATCAAAGGATGCCGATGTGCAATGTTGATATTTGTTTCGTCGCTATATAACAAAACACTTAACGTCTTTTCCCTCGGGAAATAGTTAATTTGTTTTGTTTTCCAGAGAATCTCAATGTTTCCCGAGACAAACATTGAGATTCTCGGGAAAACAAAACTAACTATTTCCCTCGGGTGCAGACATTAAGTGTATATTATTTATCCTAACTCACTCTGTCAACGTTCCCTGTTGAAAGAAGACGGAGCCATGACTTTCGGGAGAGCGTTGACAGGCTTTTCCAGTGGCGGAAATCTTGGTGGCCGCCCTCCCCCCCCACCCCCCCACCTTCACGGAAAATTGACGAATTTTCGGAAATTTTGACCTAAAAGAGGGCTAAAAACAGTCTTTTCGGGTGAAAATGAGGGGTACGTCGGAAATTTGAAAGTTTTGTCGGAAATTTAGGAGGCTTTGCCCCCCCCCCCCACCGGAAAAGTGAATTTCCGCCACTGGGCTTTCCACAATGGTCGGTATAACGAGAATCAAGCGGACGAGGCGCTTGATTCTGACGATTGCGCCAACAAAGGCCCCTGCTAGCTATACTGAATACTACTTCAGCAATTTTGAGATTCTTAATCAGCGGAACACATTGTGATTAGCGACCATTGCGGTTGATCATATTCACGATGCTGTTCTAGGAATTTTGCGACAATCCATTCTTGGAAAGACCCCTTGCCAACTGTTATTAAATGCGTCGCGCGCGCTAGAAGAGTCATTTCAACCAACGCAACAACGCCGCGATCGACATCGTCGGCGGTTGGTTTGTACTCGATACCACCGATACTTGATACAAGAAAACTGTGAAGATTCTTTAAAGTCCGATGTTTCTGTTGTCCTTCCCAGGCATAAGAGCCAAAGCTCGACGTATCAGAAGCGATCAGCACTTGCGTTATATCTGATGCAATTTTGAGCACTTTCACAAGCTCGGCTAAAACGCGCACGCAGTCTACTAGTCGGGAAAGGCCGTGTGCCGAAAAAACCTTTTCCGCTCTTATGTGCACGGCAATATAAGGCCCATATAGTACACGACGAAACCTGTTCGCTTCCTTCAAAATAGCTCCCGATGGTTTGAGTGCAAATTGTATGTCTTTCGCATGAAATTTGAGATGTTTTTTAGAGAAACGGGTTCTGAAACTTCTTCCTATTCCACGCCAATTTGAGAGAGTCAAACATTTTGCACCTTTGATGACTTCATTTTCCAACCTGTCCCATTCAGTGAAGTTACTAACGTTGACGCAAAAACATTTCGTCTTCAAATTTTCTTTAATGTATTTCCTAAGAGTCGGGCATTTGGTCCAACCATCCTTCCCTGCTTTTTTGCTGATGTTATCATACTGTTTTTTATTCAGCTGTAACATCTGTTTTGTTTTTTCCTCGTCACCTTCATAAAGAAAGTAAATGGCCACGTGACTTGCGTCAGCCAATGAGCATTCAGCTTCGTAGTCTTTCTCACCGACCAAAGTTGCGTAATCGCCCAGAGTGAGTACGTGATTAAAATGAGTCATATTGAAATAGGTTCCTAGAGGGTAGCCATCACCTATACCAAACTGAGAATGTTTTACTCTTGGTACTTGGACTTTTCTATTTCCGAATTTCGCTTGGCCTGCCAGGGTGATTAAAGCGCGAAGATTCATAGTCATTTGCTCCCAGTAGCGCGAAACACGAACAAAACCTACGGATTTTTGTGATGCCATAGCAATTGAGCGATTATTAGCAAATTCAAGTTTCTTCGGAAATAAGGGCTGAACAATATTGAGCGTAATACAACTACTTTTATCTCCACGTTCGCATGAATCATCCAAATATTTCATTATTATTTGCCCACCGAAACCGCTCTTTAGTTTTCTTGCATGCTCAACTGTCATAAAAGTAAGATTTCTGAAAAATTCGTTGTTTATTTTCACCGTAGATATTGAATATTGTTTGCTTCCAATTGACGCACGATACTGCCATATAGTAAAAAACACCACAATTATGGAACCAACGTATATAAATTTTCTTGCCCTTGTAGTTAACCTGTATACAAAGAGGAAAAATTATCTGAAATGAGAGTTTTGCATCTATCCCAAACCCTCTGACAACAGATCAATTTGCCTCACTCTTTCTCATCTTCCAGTACCCCGTGTCCTTCATCGTCACCATGCTAATTAGTTATTCTCGCCCCAGCTTACTTATGTGCGCGCGTTATGCAACAACAATCATAGAGATCCATACACAAGGCAACTTTTATTCTTCAAATATAGATTTTTAGTACGGTTTGAACAAAATGTGAACCTCGCGCGTGAATAACGAACTTATAATCTAAGTTAGGATCCAAAATTTTGTTGGCACACTTTAAAACAGACATTTACTTTAACAACATAAAATTTGTTAATAGGGAATAATAGGTCGTTTACCAGAAACGCGACACCGACTTATAATATAAACCCTTATAATAGAAACAATTATTGCGCTCGGAAACCTCAGACAATTAAATTCAATATATTATTTGTCCACGTACCTTAAAAGTAATGAAATCGACATTTACTTTCTTAATCCAAAATTACGCATTTGATAGCAATACCAAAATCGTATTCAGTATTTTACCAAAATCGTATTCAGTATTTTACCAAAATTCGGGAGACGATAATAGAGCTTGTAAACAGTATAACTCAGATGTCGAAGCCCGGATATCGAATGGCAATATCGAATTCGGAATAATTGGAAATGCTTCGCGCTTTTGGGTATTACTGCTGCCCGCTAACAGTGGGCGCCGGGTTTACGATTAAGTAGCATGCGCTGAGCAGTACGTGAACAGAGATTTACCTGAAAATATTACTGAGACAGCTTTTCGAGTAAAGGGCCTTGATAATACCTCTGGGGCCATTGCTTATAGTTGTTATATCATTTAACCAAGTTCATATTTATCAGGGTAGAGATTGTATGAAAAGTATATTTAGATACCATATATTCATAGAATCGTGTATAGGTTTACAAGAGGAGCTAAAAACAATTGGCGGATATATTTTCGTAAGAAATTAATATTTCAATCGACCGCGTCCGACAGAAGTCGGTGGCATGGTAAAGTTCCTTTTCCTCATTCTGTCTGACATGAAATGCAGTGCCAGTGGAGATTTCATTTGCTTCGGCTGTCGTCTCTTGCCGGAAAATCGTTCAGTTTCATATATATTTCACCTCATCAAAATATTTAATTATTTTTTACCATTGCACCCATAAACGTTCATTATTACTAGGTTCATGGAGCCTCAAATGAAACGAGATACCGCGCTATATCTTATGCGCATTCTGGGTCAAAGGCAACTTGTCAAGTAAATCTCTTAAATAGAATTATGTAATCTTACACAGTTACAGGTTGCCCAAGCCGCACAAATCTCTTCGACTTGTCAATAATTATGATACCAGTACACTGTCAATGTCAGTTGATAAATTACTGTGTAATTTTAAGGCTTTAAGATTAGCCTTTTCAAGCTTGAAGTATTATTAGGATGGCAGAGTTGGGAATAGACTTTCGCAAAATCCTTCATCTTTGTTTATATAATTGGCAACGAAAACAAACGAATTTACGAGCAACAGCCCTTGTGGGCATCAATCAATAAAGTTTACAGTTTGTAAGTAATTTGCGCCTGGGAACGAGGTTGTAATTTGCGGAGTGAAGAAATTCCGGAAGTCTACTTGCGTTTTGCTTGTGAGTTCATTTTGCAACCAAGTTTAGTAGAGGTCGACTGGGAGGAAGTCTGAATTGGGAAGCACATGAGCAAGTCGGCGTTTCTTTGTTTATTATTTTAGAAAGCCAGCATGATGAAAGTTCTGGTGGGCGCATTCATCTTGGCAGGTAGGTCATACAGTAGATCAACAGATATAGCAATGTAGCATCTTATTTTAATGAGATTCGAACGAATCCAACAAAAAAGGTGATACATCTATCCTAAAATGTATTAAATATTGTTCATTGGTATGCAAACAATTAAGGATATCGTATTTAGTTTAAAACTGCATGCGAACGCTGAGTGGTGTTAGAGAGCGTTAGATTTTAACTCACGAGTACGATTACAACTAAGAGGTTCTTAAATTTGGACACGACATTCTTACGCTATCTTCTTACGCTATTATGTACTGACGCGCCTTATAAATCTCGTATCAAAGCCCAGGACAAATTGACACAGGAATTTTTGAAAAATCTCGCAGCAAAATAAGCATCTACAGTTGTACTACAAGATTATGTCGTGCCGTGCGACTGAATGGCGAGTACAGTATTTGCAAGGCAACAGATCTCATAGTCGTTTCGTCTAAAGCTCTCTATATTAAACCATTGACTACGGCGCAATGCGATCGCATGTTCAATCATGAAGCGTAAATTATCTTGTAAGTTTAACACAATTCCAGTCAATTGGAAAATCCTCTGAGTGACGAGAAAGAGTTACTTTTAATGTACACGGGATTTTAGCTTAGGCTGCGTTAAAGAGTTTCATTTCAATATTGATGACTGTTGAAAAATCAAGAATAGAAACCTCGTAATTTTCAGTGAGCAAAACCTCGTATGCACGGGTCAAATTTTTGTATGTGGAATTAAAACTTGATTAGTTCCAGCTGTTGAAATCATTGCTTAAACCATTGTTTAAATTCAGAAACAAAACAGTTGCGCTTCGGATTTATTTCACCGCTTTGATAGTTTACGTCAATGTATATGAAAATAATTAGCATATATACCAATTAGATACACGGACAGAATGATGGAAAGTCTCAATGTCTCACTATCCTAATAAGTCATTTCCTGGAATTAAGGTCGAATGTCGATAGCCGTGAGAACCAGTGTAGGCAATAGTAAAGAAATGTATACTATATATTCGATATTAGTATAAACCTACTAGTAGGCTATCACATTTCGTGCCTTCTGATTGGCTACACTACTAGTAGGCTATTAGTGATAGTCTACTAATAGAAAATTCAAAATGGCGGAAAATTCGCGTTTTGCACTTTTGCCGAAGTGTCTGATGATTTTTTGGACGACTTGTTGAACAATTCTGTACTAAAAAATCCCGAAAAAAGCAACAAAAATATGGAATGCAATTTTTAAGGGTAAGAAAATAGACAAAATAACATACACTCAATGAAATTTTAAAATTAAAACTGAATTTTGTAAAACATTTTACGCGAACAAAAACTAAAATATTTGTTTACCTTTAATTAATGGTTTTATAATGTTTTTTGTGTATTTTTGTATTGTGTTTGCAGCCTAGTTGTAAATTAATGTTAAAGTTTATACTAAAACAATTAGACAACTCGGCCTCGTTGTCTATGAGCAAATAGTCAACTCGGCTTCGCCTCGTTGACTATTCGCTCATAGACAACTCGGCCTCGTTGTCTAATTGTTAATTAGTGCAAGCAATATTTCGAGCACAGTGCGTCAGTGCGTGTTAAAATTATGTTGTTTGAAATCATAGAAATGTCCCGTGTTTCCACCGACGTACTACTATCTTATACTATAATCTAAAATTACGGCAATAATTTTTTTTTCAAAATGCGGCAATAATTTTGTTTTTTCTATAGTGCTAGTAAACACTGGCAATGCTGAAGGGGGTGATGCTGATATACGGTCATGTGTTAAATCTCCACCGGTGAGTTTTAAAAAAGACAAATAAGCGAATTCAAAGCTAACCAGAATAGCATGAGTCCGAAAAACGAGTGTTGATACAAAAGACAATGTTTGCAACATCTCAGTTACTTTTAACTTGCAAGTAATGAATAATGCTTTAACTGAACAGCATTTAAAATTAACAAAATGGGCGATTTAGCTACTTCTCGTTCAGTGAGCTCATAACGAACAACCTAGTTATACTTTGTTAAACATTAAACTCATTAAAACGGTTACTATTGCGACTAATTAATGCCACAAACGAGGGAACTTTAAAGTGGCTATAACGAAGGTTCCGAAGGGGGTCTAAATCACATTTCGCTGAGCCATAATCCCATTGCCCATATCCCAGTTTCCTGTGCATGTTGACTTTAAAACACAATATTTTACTTTCAATAACTCTCTTTATAGCAATAACTTTAGAAAGAAAAAAAATTAAAGTCTATAAATGCCTGTCATTCTATATCACATACGAGACATACTACTAAGTAAATCACAGACTCCGCAATAGCAGAAAATGACCTCGGGTTAGAAAAGGGCAGAGTGCAATCTTCCAGGACTTTTTTTAGACAAACTCGTATTCAAAAGTTATCCAGTAGCTTTCCTTGAAGTTAGTTTAAACTCTGAAATGTCCATCTATGCTACAGGATTAATTGGTATATGGATTTCCCCATGCCTATTTATGTGTCTGTCATTCCCAGTGCATTTCCATTTTCCAGTCAAAAGAAAATAGGCACATCCCAGTTTCCATTTTACCCCTTCAGGACCCTCACAATCACTGCCAGTTATGCTCATGTTAGGATTTTATGTTAACTTAAGGCCACATTTCAACCATGCTCGATAATATATTTATGTAGTATTATCCCAGAACTGTGGTAAAAACGACTGATCGTTTGGCAAAACTTCGTGAGGAAATGAAGAAGGAAGGCTTGGCAGCATACATTATCCCTTCGACCGACTCACATGGGGTATGCATATTTTTTATGATCGCATTGTAGAAAATTCAAAATGACAAAATGAGATTCTTTGGCAAACTGTCTTACTCTTGGCTTGTTTCGTTCTCGATATTTGACCGACAGTTTCTTATTATGACGTCACATTGCTAAAGGAGTTTCTGTAAAAATTCAAGATCTTGGAATAAAACCTAGCCTCCTCCGCAGGCAACTTTGTAGTTCTGCAACGTTATTAACCATAAAAGATTTATCAGGAACGTAGAAAATACAAGGAAATACTAGTTCTGAAATACGATATGATATTAATAAACACTGGAGCGTAAAAATAGGGAGGCTTGTGGATAATGTAGGAATTAATGGGCTTTTTAATTTACGCTCCAGTGTTTATTAATATCATATCGTATTTCAGAACTAGTATTTCCTTGTATTTTCTACGTTCCTGATAAATCTTTTATGGTTAATAACGTTGCAGAACTACACAGTTGCCTGCGGAGGAGGCTAGAATAAAACCGTGCATATGTGTTATGTCAACATGCCACAAATATATGTTGTATGTCGAGCTATATAAACGCTATAGGACCTACAGAAATCAGAAACCATTTTGCAATTGACGTCATAGTGAGAACAATTTACACACCAAACATTGTTAAATATCTCAAGAAAGAAACAAATTAAAAAAGTTTGGCAGAGTAGTCATTTTGATGTTACCATCAAAAATGGTGAAAAATTGCGTTGCATAAGCACTTTAAAAACTTTCATTTTTTTGTGACAGAATGAATACGTGAAAGAACGTGACAAGAGACGGGAATTTATCAGCGGTTTCAGTGGGTCTGCTGGTAAGTTAAGGATGTGGTACAGTACAGTCCTTTCTGGGTATAAAATCCTCTTGACTAGGTTCTACGTTCTTGCAAAGCCTCCTCAATATATTTTGATAACTTATCTTCATAAAATATAAATAGTTGTTACCACTCATTTATAAAAAAGTATGAAGCCCGTGTAAAGGACCTGAATTTGAATTTTGAGGACTGTAATTCAAAGTTAGTCAAAACGGATATCTCATCATTGCAATAAAAATTTCATCCATCGAATTTTGACTAGATGCTAAAATTTGTCAATATTCACTTTGACTTCATTTAGCAGAGATTGAGAGATAAAAAGCATTTAATTTGCATTCAAAGCGGGTTTTTGTTGCATTCCGTTTGTGTTTTTATCAGTGCGAAATTGAAATGAACTGTGTTTAAAAATAACGTCACAAGGAGTTCATTTCAGGAACGGGACAAAATATCCAGAAATAGAAAATATCGTTACGGATTATTATTAGGACTTAAACATTGGTTATTATTTTTTATAAGAGTGGCATTTCTTCAGATTATTGCATCCAAAGTATTCCATAGGTACGGCTATCGTGACGATGAATAATGGCAGTGCATTGTGGACCGATGGCAGGTATTTTCTTCAAGCCGAAAAGCAGCTTGATTGCAACTGGATCTTACAAAAACAAGGTATTCTATTACATCTTGTAATCTTTGTAATCGTAATTTTTAATCTTTTGATCTCGAACCCAGAGAACGCCCGTTCGTATATAGGTGCGTGGCACCTAGCCTGCGAACGTGCATAATCCGGGCATGCACGAAATTGGTTGTATTCTAATTAGAGTTATCTCACAACTTTTCATTCTTAGGCCAACCTGGAGTACCTTATCAATCAGAGTGGCTTAAAAAGGTAACCTGTATTCCCAAGCTATATGCACTGCGAATCTCTGGATGCATAATCACTAGTAGGAAAAATTTTGAAATCTAAATTTTCGTTTCTGAATGGTGTTTCCTGAGTTTTGTGAATAATTTGACATGCAGATTCTGGATGATTTTCATGTTAAGTTCTCCAACTATGTTCTTTTTTGAGAAGCGAACTTAGCTAACAAGCACACCCTGACATTTGGGGCTAAACCCTCCCCCCTTCCCCTCCACCCTTCCCCTCTCACAATTTCACTTACGCATAAAGCAATTTCAATTGATAATAGCTTTAACTTTAAAGTGAGCATTATTTTTAAATCATGATATTGAATCAGTTTATTACTCTAATAAATGTTTGAAGATTGTTTTGACTACGTTCGACTGCCAACTATGCAGTGTCTGCCTGCCTCGACATACTTTCTCATATTGATTAACGACATCTCTTATCTACAGGTGCTCGAATCTGGTGATGTTGTCGGAATCGATCCCTTCCTGCGAAGTATAAGTACGATAAACGCTTTTATGGTCTATTCGCATTCTCAAAAACCGAAAAGAAATTCATATTTGAATTAAATATTTTAAAACTAGACGAAGGCGTTCTACAAAACCCTTTCGGAAATTTCCTAAAGTACGAGTATTTGAAACTTTGTCAGGACGTAAATATAGAGGCTCAGATAGTACTTCCACTACCGCTACCATTAAGGGACTATCAACCAATCAGATGCGTTTATATATCCGATTAACCAATCAGATGCGTTTGATATATCAGATTAACCAATTAGATGCGTTTGATATATCCGATTAACCAATCAGACGCGTTTGATATATCCGATTAACCAATCAGATACATACTAACCCATGCAGTTAGAGATTAGAACCTCTAGTTTGAACCTCTATAATATAGCCAACTCAACCTACTTCATGACGAAAAATGTTCTCTGGAAACGTAGAATTGTCGTTAATTAGTCGTTCCACTTCTTCTAAAACAAACCACATTTATAGGTAAAAAATACGCGCATGAGCAGAACGGGCTTGACTGTCACTTTAAATTTGTCAACATAATTGCAATATTTCACCCATATTTTCCTTTTTTCCTTTCATCACAGGATCCTGGGATAGCACAGTTAAGGTAGGACTAAAAGTCAAGCATGTAACACATATTTTAGCAAGAATTTTGCTTATATCTGTTCCCCATGCAAAGAAGTAATTCTACTCCCTTTTGCAAATTATCAACTCTCTGATCGTCCAAGCAAATAACAAACACATGCATATATTTTCAAATCTTTATTATTAGTCCTTGAAACAAAAAAACCTAACCCTCAAAGGTGTTGAACGAAATCTCGTAGATGCAATATGGACAAATCGTCCCAAAGAAGTTGAGAAAAAAGTCGTCGTCCACCCGAAAAAATACACAGGTTTGATTCTTAATGTCGTTTTAATTGTCGATTGATATATATGTTAATTCCTGACTGTGTCAGTTCCACTGATCACAAATATGGAGCTGTCAGGCCGTAGTATTAGTATTTCAGTTTGGCTGTATTTACTGTAATATCTGAAGTATTGTTTTTGTTCAAAAAGGGAAAGATTGGTATAAGAAAGTTAAAGATGTTCAAGAAAAAATGAAAGAAAAGGGCACAACAGCACATGTTGTACAGAGCTTAGACTCTATTGCTTGTGAGTATACATTACTGATCGTGGAAATTACCACGATTGTGTATTTTGTGATACCGTTGATATTTAACTCTGATCTTAATTTACGTGAATGACTATGTGTGATTCACATTTTAGGGTTACTAAATCTGCGAGGTGACGAAATTTCTTACAATCCTGTGTTTTTTTCCTATGTCGTCGTGCAAAAGGATGAAGTTTTGTATGTAATGATGTTGTGTAATTATATACTTTTAGCAAATATTAATTAATGTAAGGCAAAGAAAAATGGACGCAATGCAAAGCTACGCCATTAGCATTGCCAGGAAAAAATGGGAAAACCTCATGCATGTCGATCATCACAGCAAGCACCTTTCGCTTCTGAGATTGTGGGTTCGATTCCCGTTCCGGACTCAATACATTTACGCATGTGAAAAGAGTCCGTCTACTCAGTCAATGCTCTAGAGAACGTCGTGGGTTTTCTCGGATAATGCGGTTTCGTCCCACAGGGAATGTTAACAGGATGAGTTGAGATTAACATCTGAGTATTCTTCCATCGTATAGATGTGCTCCACGATAAGACTCATGAATCATAAGATGGCTGGCAGAGGCGCCTGGTTAGCTGTGATCGGTGATACGACACGACTCATATTAAGAGGGCGCCTTCGTAATTTAGCTTAGCTCTCAGTAGGGACAGGAACATTATGCTAAAAAATTGCCTATTATGCTATTCTCAAATGCTCCTGTCTTTACCCTATTATGCCCAAAATTTTTCCCTATTACGCCCATAATTATGCTATATCATATTCAATCAGGAGCACAAAAAACAAGAACTTTATTTAATATAACGTTTGTTATAATTAACGTTTGTTATATTGCAACATAAGTGCATGAGGCCTCAACAAGGTCCTCTGGCCCGCAGATGGTTGTCACATATGTGTATTACGTAATTACGTTGGCAAAATGACGTCATACCGAAACTTTTGCCTATCATGCTCGCTCTTTGCCTATTGTGCTCGATCTCAAAAGGGTTCCCTTTTATGCTAAAAGAAATGCCGGCATAATGTACCTGTCCCTAGCTCTCAGTTTATACTGTTTGTGCAAGAAAAAGTGTTTTCTCATATATTATATCACATACATGCGCGGGATATACGAGTTTGTTTTGGTTGGCGAAATGATAAAGAGTGCTCAATATTTTTGTCAAAATGTTTTAGATTCTTCGTGGACGGAAACAAAATTTCCTCACAAGCTGTCCAAGTTCATCTGAACCTTGGACATTGTTCCGGCGAGTCGTATTGTATCAAAAGAAAACCTTATGATTCAGTTGTAAAGGAATTAGAAAAAATCAGCAATAACTTAACTGGTGACGCTAAAATATGGGTATGGATATATATTGATCTGATTGGACTGATTTTATTTTGCTTTCATCTGTTTGTATATAAAGTGTTTATGTGATTGTATGTTAGTCTGTTAGCGCAAGTACTCAAAAACATCTGGTGGTAGAAAAAAAATTAAAAATAATAAAATATTGTAAAATAAAGTGTTAAATAATGCTATAAAATAATTGTAGCAGTAAAAGCAAAACGTACTGAACTTCAAACATCGCTTTCCCTTGGTGTACAATTTAAAATCTCTTTGCTTTAGTGTTATTTTTAAATGTTACTTTTTAAGTTTGTCTGCCAATTGAGAAACATCGAGAATCAAAAAGTCAAAATTCTGAAATACAGTGATAAGCAAGTGGCATTATATTTATTAGTTTCGAGCACGACGTGATGTGTTACGTAACATTGAAAAAAATCAGTTCAGGTTTACATACAGATTGGTATTGTGACGTAAAGTATCTAAGGATAGAAAGGGATAAAATTTTGGCACATAATATGCTGTTGTTAACGGTATTTTTTCTGTGTTACTCAGTCTTCTTCCCTCTATAGCCGTCTCTGATATTTTTCTATTTTTAGTTCAGTCCAACGGATAGTCATGCTCTCAGACAACATGTTGCTGACGTAAGATATTTACTACTTATACCTAAGATATTTAGTACTTATACCTACATTACAATTTATATTGTAATAAATATGACTCACGTTGACAACACCTAAATTTTATCAGTTCTCGTTGTTTAGGATAAAGTTTATCTCGGCTATTCACCCATTATTTTGATGAAAGCAAAAAAGAACAAAGTTGAAGTGGACGGAATGAGAAGCGCTAACGTATGTAGAGCCATCTAAAATGGAAAACGAAATAGGTTGTGATGTTTACATGTTTGGGAAAGGCATTTCCTTGTGATTTAAGTGCATGGTACTATAATCTCAAATATGATTTTTGCATGTGTAAATAATAGTTGGATCATTCTAAGAAGAAATGTAATATATATTTATAGTAAGAAAACCTCATCTTGATAAATTTTTCAGATCTTGACAGATCTGATGAATGGTAACAGCAAAAGTATCATCCAGTAACTTTATAGTGAAAAAGTTAATCAGAACGAGGTTTTCACTATAAAGATAACAAAATGATCCAAATATTTCCAGTACCAGGAATCCTATTTGGGAGCCGAACGCGTGAGTTTGTATATCCGATATACAACACGGATACGATTATTGTAAATGGCTTGTGAAACGTCTTGATAAGGACATTCGTATTCTTCAACAGTTTAAAATAAATTAATGATATTTGGTGAGAAAATTGAACTTAAAGTTTATGTAAATTAGCATGATTCTGTATCAGGTATACAAACTCGTTCACGCTTATGATTTCTTTTGTGTTTTCGTCATGAATTATTAATTCTTAAAATATTAAAAAAAATATTTAAAAGATTATTAATTATTTGACTGTTTTGTTTTTACAGTTGAAGGACTCAGTTGCCTTGGCGGAATTCTTTTTGTATGCAGAAGAACAGGTAGAAACGCTTTCTGTCAAACGTGGGGAAAGAGTGGGATCTCGGGATCATGAGGGCGATTCAGGACGACATTTAAAATTTTTCACACATACGTTTTTCACTCATATACGTTTCAATTTTTCACACACATCTCAAGGAATCATTTTATCATATTTCCATATCTGTCATTTGAGACATGTAACATAAATACATAAACACAGTAAAGTGTCAAATTTTGCATTGTTTTTACGCACGTTTGAGGAAATGTTGAGGCAAATGCGTGTTTAGTTTTCGATAACAGACTAATCTCAGCTGACCCCTCCCCCCCCCTGGAGCGGCGGAGAAACAGTCTGCGATCAATCAACACTACGGTTGTCAACACTAATATAATACAGTTGCCCCCACACAACGGAGGGGGGGGGGGGGAATATGATTGGTTGAAATTTTCCTTTGTGATCACGCCGAAGTTACTCTGCGTCCGCCATCTTGGATTTGACATTTTTTTAATAATTTTATGAATAATTTTAAATTAATTATGCAAAACACTGCTAACATAACTGTACGGCATCGGTCCAGGTGGGTCGGCTGAGATCAGCCTGCTATCGCAGACTATTGCGTGTTATGCAATATACAAATTAATCTCTTACTAATCTAAATTTTTTAAAGATTGAAAAGAAAGCGAATATAACCGAGCTTTCACTGGGTGAGAAAATGAAAGAATTTCGCAGGTGATAACCTTAAACCAATAATTATTCCCAGACGTATATCTATATTAAACTAATTAAATTTTCAACACTGTAGGCCTATTAAAAAATTCTGGGGGAAATCTACTACTTTCTACTCCCATTATACACGTACGTTAGGGAAGGCATTGCCTTCGAAGGCAATGCCTACCCTAACGTACGTGTATAATGGGAGTAGAAAGTAGTAGGTTTCCCCCACAATTTTTTAATAGGCTTACAGTGTTGAAAATTTAATTATCAGCTAACACTTTAATTATGACTACTCGGAAATAAACGGTAAGAGATCCGGTACTGGGTTTCTATTGATCGACCGCAGTGTTGGTTTATTTTAGACAATATGGTTTTGCAAAGTTTGTTCACATTTGCAGATACACGATGTGAATGAATTTCGACTTAAAGAAATTGTTCACATATAGAATCAATGTTTCTAAAAATTCTATTTCTAGCAAACAAGCCTTGTACAAAGGTCTCAGTTTCCCCTCAATCATTGGATTTGGTCCAAACAGCGCAGTGATTCATTACACGTGAGTAAAATACTGTAATTCACATTTCAAATAGAAAATATGGTGGCTTCGCCCGAAATTTCCATCTTCGAAAAACCCGTTAACCATTAGTTACCATCGAGTGAGATGCCTCAGACTGAATAATTCGTGGTATCATGCTCAGCCTAGCTCATCCAATAATTGTTTTTTTATTATTATGTAATAGCCTATTTTAAATGATCTTGTTACGCAAACGGCTTTGTGCTTACTGCATACTATAGTCATTCGTGACTGAAGCAGGCTAATAATTGTAAAAGTGCGCATGCTCATACAAGTGCGCAACACCTTTAATATCGTGGATAATATCTTTAATATTTTTTTAAAGATAATAAAAATATACCAGTTTTATTAATTGTTACTTTCTCGCGTTAAAGAGCATCGGAGAAAACCGACAAACAAGTGACAGATCAATCAACACTTTTGGTGGATACAGGTTCACAATATCTGTAAGTACCCGACTGGGCTCACGACGTTGTTTCAACGTTGAAATTTGGTAGAAAAAAGGTTGCGGCGTCGACAACCTAATATCTACGTTGCTCTGACGTTGTTTTAAAAACATTGGTTCAACAGCAGCCAACAGACGTTGAATCAACGTTCATTCATGGTTAAACTGTGTACGACGTCGATTTGTGAAGTAATCTCAACGTTGTTTCAACGTTGATTCAACGTTGAATTATGGTTGACGAGATTGGCAACCTAATTTCAACGTTGTTCCAACGTCGAAACAGTAACGTAGATCCAATTTGCATTATCAATCCTTTTTCAACGTCTATCCAACGTCTGAAAGGTCATTTCCAACGTTGATTCAACGTTGAACAAACGTCATTTTGCCCGCTGGGACACTTTCTCGCAAGTTATTTTTACGAGTCTTCCAAATCCCGCGAGGGGAAGTGTGAAGGGGGAAGCGTAATTAACATATATGATATGGAAATGTGAAAAACTAATTAGAGGCGTCTTTATAAGCTGTGATTTTGTGTTGGAAACTTCACGACTTCACCGTGCACAAATATTTTTAAATTGTGCCAATTAATATTTCAAAAGCACGAGTGAGTCAATGGAATAATAAAATTGGATGGTTGCTTTTTATTAGCCAACATTAAAATTCCTTGTTTTGAACACGTACATGAACATGGACAAGAACAAAAACCGTCCGCAAAGCTTCCAGTCTAATTCTTGCCTCCAGACTAGATTTGACTTGGAAATGCAGATATTAGCTTTTTTAACTAGCGTTGGAAATGCAGGAATTAGAATTGGTACAAATCTTTTGAAATCAGTATTTCAAAAACACCGAGATTGAGTGATTCAATAAAATGATAACGTTGGATCGTTGTTGTATTAGGCGAATATTTAAAATGTCTTGTTTTCAACGTGCATAAATATGGACAAAAGATACACCATATCTTTCAGACTATATGTTGCTTCTATAGACAATACCTGACTTGGAACTGCAGAAAATCGCGTTCTAGACATACAAAAATCATATTTTTTACCTCAGCTTCCCCTTTCGATAGACAATATACAAACTTTGGCCTTGATAATGATTTTATACTCCTCAACCCGACAATTGCAACCCCATTCAATTAATAATCGCAAACATATGGTATGCTTGAATATAGCGATGGTACCACAGACGTTACTCGTAGTGTCCATTTTGGAACGCCAACTGCAAGACAGAAGGTAACAAACATAAGATTAATTGTCTTCCTGAATTTCATCAATCATGACAAATTTATTGTTATTAGCCAACTCAGAGTCTCGTCTGCGCATCTAAATTACGCGTTCAGCGTCAGGATAAGCTTCAAGTCGGAGATATAGTCGCACGGTTGAAAGGCATGCACTATAATCTTTGTGAGAATTTTAAATAAATGGCACGTAGGATTGTGGGATTGAAATATGACACATCAAATTTTCCTGCCATTAACAATTTTTCTGCCATTAACAACTTAATTTCATTTGCATGCAAGTGGCATTAACTATGATGTAAAAGTTTTCTCATTCGTGTTGTCGAATTTTTAAAAATTTTTCTGCCCTGAGTTCTGACTTTAAATATACTCATGTTGCAGAGCGCATTTACTCGTGTTCTGATGGGACATGTCGATGTGGCTATGGCTGTCTTTCCCCAAGGAACGTACGGTACGATAATTTTTATCTACCTGCTGTGCTAAACACAGGGGGGGGGGAGGGATATTAATCTACAAAACGCGGACAAGAATCTTCGGTATTTGATTTTGATTATTTTGAAGATGTTCGGCATTTTGTAAAATAATTTGGAATTTCGTTGAAGGGACTTAGATTTTGGAAGGATTTAGAATTATTTTGTGGAATTAACGAGTAGTAATATACACTATTCAACAGATAATTGAACAGAATAGGTTCAGCAGCCCATTTTTTGTGCATTAATGTTAATATGTCTTGTCTAGGTCGTGCACTCGAAATATTTCAACGTGAACCGTTGTATAGGAATGGTTGGAACTACCGCCATGGGTCTGGCCATGGCATCGGATCTTATCTTTACATTCACGAAGGTAGACGGTTGAATAACAATAGAAAGGTTCAGATTTGATTTGATTATAAACTACAACCGTTTTCATTTATTTCAGGGCCTGGTTGGTTTGCATCGGGTTGTCCTACAGCTGCTGAAGAACCGTTAGATATTGGTTTTGTGATCACAGATGGTTAGAGCTGTGATTTACTGAAAACATTTTTAAAAATTCTTTTAACTCCGCTTGGAGGTTATGTTTATATAAGACATTTAATAAGTAGTGCGACTTTTCAATCTGGTTATGTTAGTTGATAAAGGAGAAACTTTTAAAATAGTATCAATGAGCGTATTTTCCACATTTTCCACGTTAAAAACTCAAAATCGGCTACAAAAATCACATTCCTGGATCATCATCATATAATTCTTGCGAACTTTCTATAGTAGTTCATTTTTGTTAGCTCACTCACATGGGTTCTTTGTTGTACCTATTCTTGACTTGCAATCAATCCCATGAAAATTATAAGACAATGGGATGGCGGCCATGTTGGTGCCAAATTCAAAAGAAGTTAATGAGATTCTTTTGTTGAAAGGGGACCAATATGGCCGTCGCCACATCATTGCACGGTGAAGAACAGTTGGCTATTAATCTCATTATAGAACCTGGCTTCTATGAAGATGGTAATTTTGGTGTGCGAATCGAAACAGCATTAACTGTGGTTAACGCGTCTACTCCAGTAAGTTACCTTCATTTCTTCATCAAAACGATAGTCGGGGTTGTAAAGTGGTACCATGCATGCAACGGTGAACTATATAGCCATAGTAACATGCACAGTGGTGGAAATCTCAGTGGGGGGGGGGGGGCAGCGACTGCCCTCCCACCTTCACGGAAAATTGACAAATTTTCGGAAATTTTGACCTAAAAGAGGGCTATAAACAGCCTTTTCGAGTTCAAAAGGGGGGAGGGGGTTTGTCGGAAACAAACGACCAGTTGCCATGGCTAGCTTCGCCACAAGTGACACGTACGTCATGCTTACTACGATTGTCAAGTGCTAACAAGACATTTATCAGTATAATGGACTAATTTTTATAAAATCGACAAAATTTGCTAATATTTTGATATGTCATTATCTCTTGTATTTCTTTAGAATCGCTTCGGTAACATGGATTACTACAAATTTGATCCTATCTGTTACGTACGTAAGGCAAAGTAACATTAAATTCCCATTTCGCAAAACAACTGCGACTGACAATTTTATATTTTCAAAACACATATATTACTTTCACTACTTTAGTTTCCAATACAACGAAAACTTATTGACGAAACTATAATGAGTGACCATCAGGTACGTTAGAGCATAGATTGTAAAATAACTGGATAGGAAACTTCCTGACGTCACAGTCTAAACTTAGTTGCAATCTGTGACGTCACATGTTTGCCAAAGTTCTCAGCATTTTTGTTGTTTCGCTACATTTTCCGGTTTAAAATAGTAATATTGAAGCATAAACTGGTCTAATTGTTTTAAAAACGAGGTCGGGAATCTTCGAGTTAAGCCCTTCGAGTTAAGCCCCTCGAGTTAAGCCCCTCGAGTTAAGCCCTTTTCGAGTTAAGCCCCGACCACGCCCTGTTTTGCCAAGACCACGCCCTTTTTCAAAAAGGGCTTAACTCGAACAACGAAACACGATTTGGGTTATTCGAGTTAAGCCCCGGGGCTTAACTCGAAGTTTGACAAAAAGGTTGTTGCTCGAGTTAAGCCCCGACTTTTGAAGTATGTCAACGAGTGCAATATTAAATTGTCAAATTTTCAATACAATAAAGCCAAAGCACAGAAATTTTCCCCAAAAGAACTTATATATCGCTGACGTAATACGATTATCAAAAACAAACACAACTATTATCGTATTTTAGGTATATTTTAGGTTGTTCATATTAAATTGATATTAAATTTAACAACAGGTAATTACTTTTAATTTAGTGAATCGTTTATCCACAACAAAACAACAAAACAATATTTTAATTATAAAATAGATAGAATCCTAACTCGTTCCTTTTGCTTCAATGTGCACAATACAAATTAACAGTTTTACTGTAACAGAAAAGGTGCAACCTTCTCCCATCACCTTGAATAAAACTAATCTATTAAGAAAATGATCGAAAATGACAGCATGTAAAAACTAAAGAAAAAGGGAGGAAAGGGAAGGAATTTCGGTATAGAATGATCTGTCTTTGACAACTTGCGCCCAGAGACTCGCACCTCATACGCACATGCATGTACAGTCATTTTATTAGCCAAATGGTTACGAATCACGAATGGTTTCATTTGGGTAAACAAATTATCACGGGGAGAAATTGTTACATTTGAGTAACATACCCAAATGTAACAATTTATCCCCGTAATAATGGCGTTACGTTGACTTGTATTATTAAAAAGGGAATATTTGCTGAGCCATTAGTAATTTTATAAACGAAATGGTGACGTAGCGCCATTATTACGGGGATAAATTGTTACATTTGGGTATTTTACTCAAATGTAACAATTTCTCCCCGTGATAATTTGTTTACACAAATGAAACCATTCGTGATTCATAACCATTCATTTGGCTAATAAAATTGCTGTACATGTGCGTATGAGCCGTGAATCTCTGGGCGCAAGTTGTCAAAGACAGATCATTCTATACCGAAATTCCTTCCCTTTCCTCTCCTTTTTTTTGGTTATTACGTGCTGTCATTTTCGATCATTTTCTTAATAGATTAGTTTTGTTCAAGGTGATGGGAGAAGGTTGTACCTTTTTTGTTACATTCAAACTGTTAATTTGTCGATATTGTGCACATTCAAACAAAAGGAACGAGTTAGGATTCTATCTACTTTATAATTAAAATATTGTTTTGTTGTTTTGTTGTGGATAAACGATCCACTAAAAGTAATTACCTGTTGAGTGTTGTTAAATTTAATATTAATTTAAATATGAAAAACCTAAAATATTGTTAACGATAATAGTTGTGATTGTTTTAGATAATCATATTACATTAGCGATATACAAGTTCTTTTTGGGAAAATTTCTGTGCTTTGCCTTTGGCTTTTTTGTATTGAAAATTTGACAATTTAATATTGCACTCGTTGACATACTTCAAAAGTCGGGGCTTAACTCGAGCAACAACTTTTTTGTCAAACTTCGAGTTAAGCCCTGGGGCTTAACTCGAATGACCCAAGTCGTGTTTCGTTCTTCGAGTTAAGCCCTTTTGGAAAAAGGGCGTGGTCATGGCAAAACAGGGCGTGGCCGGGGCTTAACTCGAAAAGGGCTTAACTCGAGGGGCTTAACTCGAAGGGCTTAACTCGAAGATTCCCGACCTCTTTAAAAACATGCCTAAGCCACGACAAAGTATTCAAGGTAAATGTTTTTCGTCTTTGTTTTGTATTTTTTTTTACATTTGTAGCTACGAAATTGGCGTCGCCAATTTTAACGAAATTTGCGATGCATTTTTCACTGTTTAGTGCTTGAAGTATTTGCTATAATTGACTGGGAATACTTAGAGATTTCATCGTAGAATGGCGTAGTTATATTTATTTGCTCTTTGACTAAAATATTTAGCTGTATTATTGCTAAACATGCCGTTTTTGAGAATTTGGTTTGCAACTAGGTTTCAACATCCAACCACGCGCCATCAGCCCATTGAAAACATTAGATCACGTCAGCTAGTTTCCTATCCATTTATTTTATTATCCATGCATGGTTAGAGCTATCCGAATTGGTTTAATATGCATGATAAAAATATGATCGTGGGAATGGCAACACTGATCTGCATGATTGATTCGCGAAAATTTGCTGAAATAGTAAACTAATAATAATTTAATATTTAAAGTAGTCACGTGCATAATATTTTGACGGGCGTCCAAAATTGACCCCTCACCTGACAGCCATGTCTATCTGACTTTCTTGACCGAATTTTCAACGGCAATAGTAGAATGAAGGACTGTTTTTTATTTAGCTGAAATGGTTAAATGACTATCATAAGAAAACAGCTGAGCTTGTAGGTCCCGAGTTGAAAAGGCAGAAGAAAACAAAAGAATATTTTTGGTTGATGAAGAGCACAAAGCCAATTTTGAAGGATGTAGATGCTACGTCAGATGGAACCATCGCAGTGAAATCGATTGCTCTTATTTTTGGAGCAGCTATGAGTTGGTTGTCCATTTTAAATTACTTGTAACCGACATCGTCTATGCGTCATAGTTTGAAATAACATGTCATGTTAATTAATTCGAAGCATCTTTGTTGAGTGAATTTTAACTAATTTTGTAAAATCGTGTCTTAAATCATAACCAATTTCTTCTTTCTCGGTAATCAAAATTTGATTTATACAATATATATGTATTATTTTAGGATTTCTTGTTTCAAAGACAATAAAATATCAAAGTGCACGAGTTCAATGGAACTATGGGTAGGAATATTTTTTTGTTCACTACTCTGACGAGTAAATGAATTCCAATAAATGTAAGCCTATAGGGGATACTGAGGCTCGGTATTTGATTCTCTTAGCTTGTGAGTCTATATGATAAATGTATGACTGAAAATGCTCGGTATAATTGATCAGTTTTCTTAGTTTGTGAGTCTATATGATAAATGCATGACTAAATACTAAATTAAAAATATTATTGGATAACCGAGCTTTGTTTTTGGAACTAAATTTTCATCGTTAGAGTAAAAATAAATATTTATACAAGCAAAAATTTATTATAAAATTTAATTAAAAATGTAGTGTATACGTAACATACAATTAGTTAGATAGATTATAAGTTGTAATTAAAAATGTAAAAATTTTGTTAAGAATAATTAAATCAATTAAAAGTTAAAATAATTTTTAAGATTAACTTTTATCGGCTATATAGACCGTGGAAACATTATACAAGTATATAGCCTCGAATTCATTTTGAAAACAGACAGAAACTAACATTACGTAAGATTGAAAAACGAATATTAAATAAAAAACTATGAGTAAACTAACTCGTTTTTTTACTGAAGCAAATCTTTACCCCAAAAAACATTGAATATAAATTTGAAACTTTTCTCAAAAAGAAGTTATACGTTTCATTAATTTGCGGCCAGGGTCAAACGTCGAACTTTTGATGTGTCGAACCTTATCTTTGTTTCACTTCATTTGCATTAGGTTCGGCACATGAAAAGTTCGACGTTTGACCGTAGCCTGAGTAAGTTTTTTAAACACTGTGCATGGGTGCATTATTTTTCTCAAGTTCTTCAGTAAAAATACACATGCAGGAATAATTTGCAGTGTCTCACTGATTTTGTTACTTTTGAATGGAAAATCTATACTTTTGCATATATGGGTCACAATATTTCTTGTATTAAGAAATAGCTCTGTACAGAATTTAAGTACATGGGAAATGCTATTCCGGATGTACGTGTTATTGTTTTGAGTGCAAATATTGATGCTGATATGCTCGTGCTACAGGTTGGCAAATTAGATTAATTATATTTTCTGAATTGACGAACGATTTTTCATAAAATTATACTTTTTCACTGTCATTGCATGATCTGGGTTTTTTTATGTTAAGAATCTTGGCTTATTATAATATGTTACTGGTGTTTATAATTATATAATATACAATTTACAAATCATACGACTAATTTGGCTTATTTAAAAATATAGAGTAATCTGTCTTAATTTGGCACTACAAAGCCAAAAGAGATTGAACCATACAATTCAGAGCATAAAACTGTAGCAATGGGTACAGTACTTGAAGGCCGGCGATACTTCAAAGCTGAATGTTGAATGCTAGTCTATTGCTTTATTACAGGTGATGTAGAGTATTCGTTTTAATTTAACAATTTGATAGACAGAGTAATCATATTCATAACACATAAAGCCAATTAAGAAAAGAGCTTTGACTTGAAGTTATAAATTATACATTGAAATTATACATTTTGCATGAAACCAGCTGTTTGGTGATGTTTTCACACCTTGGTAAACAGTGCCTATATTTGGTATAATTTTACAAAATAAAATCATTTCACCTCCTCCATATATCATCTTCGTTATTAAATAAAATAAAAAAGACTGGAATTTATCAATTCGGCAAATATTAATTATAAAAAAGTCGATGTTTTTGGATTGAATATAGTTAATTTCAAAATTAAAAGTGCATCTGCTTGGCGTATATTGCCAGTCGAGTCCAAGATCCTGCAACGAAAACAGCAAGTTCGGAAAAAATAATTGGACATTTTGGTAAGTTTTGTGACTATATACTTTTATGTTTTATTATAACCGAAAAATGTGACATTGCTTATCAAAACTAATTTTTTGAATTAATTAATGTTAAAGCTCAACCTCATAGACGGAGTTCAAGAGTATAGACACTTCGCTCTTTCATTAAAACGGGGATAGGTTAACTAACCTGAACGGTTGAAGGCAGTTGAACTTTCAAATTACTTCAATTTTGGGTCGATCCGATTAAGCAGCAAGTCGCTCAAAATTATAATATACGCTTTCAAGTTAGAAAGGGCACGTTTTCTGAACCCCACCACATGTATTATACATTTAAGAGTATAATTACCTTTTTTGTTGACAAACCAAAATACATGGCCAATAAATATTTTGTATTTTTAGTATACTCTGTTTGGACTACAGTACACAACATGTCTCGTATTGTGATCTTTTTCGTGATGGTTTTGATACGCACTTCATCTGCCCGCCCAGGCTGGTCACAGAGCAAAGAAGGAGAAGTAGAAGAACCGGTACCGCCGCCTAGTGATGATGTAAGTTGGGATTTGACAACTAGGGCCGGTTGTTCAAAAGACAGTAGGGTTAATCCTGGATTAACAAAATCACTTCAAAGCAATCTTCTCAACAACTTGTTTATATAAACTTGGAAAATTTTCCCCCAAATTTTGACTGGATCAACGAAAGTTATATTTCCTGAAGTTTTGAAATAAACAGACATACAAAAATACACACAGCAAAATAGCAGGTTAAATTTTAACACAGGGTTAGCGCTAACCAAGCTTTGAACAACCGGCCCCATCATCTCAGAATTACACTGCATACCCAAATAGTTCACTGGCGCACAAAATGAAGCTAGTTATGACGAAGGGATTATATATGTTTAATCTTAGCATGCCAGCTTCAAGAAAAAATTTAAATGAATTTAATTTTGTTGTGTCTGATCTATTTTGAAGCAATATAAAAAATCCCACAATATCAGTATCAACAACTATTTCTGGATTTCAGGTTCTATAGTGTTGTTTTGTCAAACAAGTCGAGTCTAAGAAATCTGTTAATTATAGCCATAGGATAAGATGTCAACGACAACGATTAGATTTTATTAGTATCCATTCCTTTGTTGGGCGCCATATTGAATTTTGTGGCCGCGTCGGTAAAGGCTTGGTGACTAGGTGCTTTGATGAATCTGAAATAGCCCTGACCTATTTGTTTACCTCATTGAAATGAATAGAACTGGAACGCTATTTCCATGCTGAGAAATGTGAAGGCACACTTGGAATTGAGTCCAAGTCATTTCACTTTATTTCTCGGACTAATACATGCACATTGCACATTATTTCTTTAGTGTCGGCCACTTGGTACTTTTTGCAAACGGGAGACATCGGATGGTGTAGTCCGTGAAAAAAGGTGCTGTTCGGGATCATGTGTGTATCATAACAGTCATTACGGGACCAAATTTTACAAGTGCGAGAGCAATCAGACATCCAAGTAAACTCTGGAACATTATCTTTTAATTTAATACTACGATTTACTGATTCCGTCGCATTGGCGGCATGCAATGTTAAAATACATCTTAGCCACTAACTGGCTTCGTAATTAATTCATGTACAAACCGTTAAAATTATCATGTAGAATTGCTTATTAAATGTGAAAAGAAATTAAATCAATCGAGTGACTATTTCTTGTCTTGACAGAGCACATAGTTTTCTTTATTCTCTTTCGCGGTATCTTTCCTTAGTAATATATTAATATGTAAATGTATTAATATTAATATATTGTAATATGCTATGAAAATAAACAGTAAGCTAATTGGGTATGGTCTATGGGCCATGAAAATTTTCCACGAGTTGTAAAATATCTTCCGCCCCACCCTTAATGACTGTGTTAGGATATAGCCTTAACTGCATTCTGAACAACCTGGAATTCTTATAATTATGGATGAGTTGGCCTTTTTAGTTGTCTAAAGGAATTCAAAACACATTCATTGGTCAGTACTGTGTTTAAAAATATCACATGTTTTCTTAATGTTATTTCTGCATGTTTGATATTGATCATGACGTTCAGTGTGCAAGCCAAATGAATTGCTGATTTTTTCAACGATTACACTTTAAATTTTTGGTAGCCCACGTCTTCTTGTCACGAACTTTTTGCAGCCCCCTAATTAGTAGTCCAAACGTTTTTCATGCCTCTCCAAACATCTTCCCCCTCACCCACCGCCATTAATAATGACTGTTTCCTTGTAACCTTGGCGAAACTTAACATTAAATAAACCCAAAATTTAAAGATATACGTGCATGCACGAGTTATGTTGCAAGAACGGTCGTCCAACAGGGATATGTGGCCTAATGTGGGCATTGCGCTAACCACATTTGACATCCGTGCTCCTCGGTCCTAATTTGTTTCTTGGCATTAATATATTACAACATTTAATTTACTTCCGAACGACGCCCACGCACACTATATAATTATTCTGCGGTATAAATTAGTTAATAGATATATTGAGCTGATCGTTGTTATTTACTTTTAAAATTTATCACTGAATAGGCGAATTTTTATAAGGACAATCACTTTAAGTCCAAAAGATTATTAATGTTTACGTTTAATTTAATTTTGCGAAAGCGTTAACCATGATACAATTAACGACATTCATGCATATACGAGGTACGAGGTCAAGACCAGCGGCTTACGCAGGACTTTTTCACCAGAGGGCAACAGTACCTGTATGCTGATCGAATAATACCCAAATTTATGTCAATGCATTCAAAGTCATATCAGTACTCGCAAAAATAACATACTGTAAACTAAATTTTAAAGCCCAGTTTTTCATAGTGTACATGTAGTTCTAAACTGTCTAAACTGAAGGTGATTTATTAAATTAAAGACCTTTACATTTTTCTCCGAGCGCCTCCACAATGCAGGAGATTCCATTTCATGCAGAAAGCTAAAATTCAATGTTTCCGGGGGGAGCATGCGTTCGGACGGTTTTCCTAAAGGTTAAATACTTTAAAAAAGTTAACGTAGTTTCAGACGAAACAACAAATTATCCATGTTTAATAACAATTTAACAATTCCACGAGGCGCCACCATGGTTGGTACCGAGTGGGAAAATTTTGGGTCTGTAGATCGTGCTGAAATGGCATTCTCTCAGTCTTCTCTACCTCTTTCGTTAGGCCATTTTATCAATTCATTATGATTTGTGAGTTATGCTATCCGCGAGTCAGGATGGACTATTATTATTAATTGGCTTTGGAGTGTCCACATGGGGCGGAACGCCCCATGCGGAACGCCCCATTGCAAATGGAACATCCATTGCAAATCCATTTGCAATGGATGCAAAGCGTTCCGCTTTGCATCCATTAAATTTATTGGATGGATGTCTGTTTAGGCATCCATTCTTTCATTATAATTTGCGAGTCTATGCTATCCGTGAGTCAGGATGGATTATAATATTATGATTAATTGGCCCATCAGCGCAATATTTTTTTTTAAATTCAATTATTTTGGGGGAGGAAGGGGATATCTTAATTCGCTCCTGCTTCCTACGCCCCTAAATAAGCGTATATACTACTAGTATTGTAACTATACAAGAGAAAATTAAAAAGTTTTTCCAATTGAAAATATAAATAGAATTTGGGAATGTTTAACCAGGTTTCTTGAATTAATTAGTTTAATTAATCAAATAAATCTTTTATATTAGTTTTTTGTGACGGTTGATGCAAATTAGTTCCCTCAAATGCTGTGGATATATTTAAGCAAGGATCTTCAGTGAGACCATCAGTTGCGGAGTTGAAGGAACCTACTGGATAAGGACAGGTATAATGTCTAAGATACGATATATTCTAAACGCTTTCGGTTAAAAGACGACAGGCAACTGAATTGCAATAGTATAATTTAATAGGAATTGCAACTACCCGAAAAATAAGCTAAAGGATGCTTCAGTTTTGTTTATACTTTTCACTGGCCCACTTATATATACAATAGCGCTAATTTTTGCTGCAATTTGTTTCTCTCATGCGATTTTATTCTTCTTGTATATAGATTTTACTTGCATGGTTTGAATGATTTTCGAAAAGTCTGGTAGTTGTGAAAAATAAAGTATGCTGTGGACGAACAGGGAACAAGTTGTATATTCAGTCAGCACAATAGTCGAAACATAATTGATTAAGTCTGGTTTCCATTATCGTCAGACTAGTGCTAGTTGGCGACCAAATGGAAACACGAAGCTTGATTGACTAATAGCAAGCTTGCATGATTGGGATGACAAGCTTGATTGAAATATTTAACTATAGTAAGTCATTTACAATGGTGATATATTTTATTCACAGGAAAGGAGGGTATAAGATGTCGCGCCTTGTCATAATTCTCATGTTGGTGTTGGTAATCACTTCAACAGTAACGTCTAGTTGGTCGAGGGGTCCCAGCCGTAGACATCGCGCTAGAAAACCAGCCAAAACGGTACGCAAAAATCAGCTATATAGCTAAGACCTATGATATATATCAGCACGTTTCAAAATACGACACTGTCTTGAAAACTGGAAAAACCTTTAAGAAGGCATGTTATCCCCTCTGCCTACAGTGGAAGGTTAGCACTATTTTCCATCCAGCAAACTGACCTGACGTCATTTTCGCAAGATAGAAGAGGTGTTAAATGGCTATGTAACTAACACAAACCCTACCCCTGGTCCCCTACTCTAACCGCTAACCCTAACTTCAACCCTAACTCTAACCCTAACCGAATTAATAAAAAAATCCAAAAATAAACGACTTTACAAAATCGATAGGGCGGTTTGCTGGATGGAAAAAAGTGCTAACCACAGTGGAACCCGACCGTTCGATATATTATTATTTATTATGATTCCTATCTGCAACGGCAGTCGTGAATGAAAGTGTTCCTAAAATATTCTACCAATTCATCATTCGTTTGGTAATACACTATAGTGCTATAGATATCTTATATACACTAGATAGTGCATCTAATTATTCTGCAATTCAAAAATTGAAGCCGTGATTGCAGACTCAGGATATTCCCATTTCCCACGGAGAAGACTCGTATGTTTTCTATTTCTTAAACACAGAACATAAACATCAAGTTAAACCTATTCCAAAATATTTTCAAACTATTCAAATGAGGAAAGTTATTGTTGTTTTTTAAGCGTTTATTTAATAGCGAGTGGGAAAATCCAACATGGTCGCCATCTATTCAAATGGGAGTAACCGCTGGAATATTCTTGGCTTCAATTTTACTAAAAGAGATGTGCTATCTAGTGTATATAAGATATCTAAGTATAGTGCTAATAATATATGAACAATGTTTCTTCCCGTTTTATTACAGTGTACTAAAAAGGTAGGACGTTTTGAATACTGCAAACGCACAGAAAAGGGTAGAACCACCTATTACTTGAGATGTTGCCACGGCCAATGCAAGCCGGCATCCTATGGGAGGAAAGGTATTGTTCTCTTCAAGTGCAAGTAGCACGAGAATAATGGATTAGTGATCGCTTGAGTATTTTGTTATTATAGGAGTAAATGTGTTAAATACGTAAAACTAGTCGAATATTGTACAGTATCTATATATAGTCTATATATATCAAACAGGTGAACATTTTTGCTTTTAAATTTCAGGCGTGTCAATAACTAAGGTAACTTTAAGTAGTGTAACTGCAAAATTCTGTACACAATAAAACTTGTATGAGCAAATATTTTAAAGTCGTGTTTTTTGTTGTCAATTATTCTTATGTTTTATGAGCATTACATTAATTAATATTACATTTTATGTATAGTCACAATTAGATATACCAGCACGTCAAACACTACAAACCAACTGTAATAATTAATGTATATGTTAAGCTACACAGTTAGCTACTATAAAAGAACATTGCAATATTTTGGTCAGAAAAGACAATTTTGCATGGGAACAAATTAAGAAACAAAAGATACAAAACGGAAAGAGAAAAAAATACGACCTTTGACTAACAGGTAAGTCATTTTCACTCAAAATAAATACACTTGTCACATTCAAAAGGTATGAACATAGTGCCAAAAGTACTGTAGAATAATATATTGGAAACCACCAATGATTGTCAGAATAGATAGACTGGTGGGTTAAAGCTTATAGACAACTTATAAGTGGTACCGTGCAGTATATAAGTGTGATTATTATGTGCTCATATGCAAGTGACCAATCACGAGTCTTCAAACCTTTTCAGATGTTTGGGAAATTTCGAACACACAACAAACGATATGGCAAAGTATAATGAAAATTTATTTAAGCAATAACTGCTATATGTTATAGGTTATACATGCACGCTTTCGCTAGTTTGCTTTATACGACTCAGACCACGTTCACCCGCCACCAGAGCGAAACAATGCCCGCCCGAATTTACGTGTGTTCATACGACGGGATCTCACTTTAACGTCTACAGTTTAATGTCTTTAATCCTACCTCAGAAAATTCAGACACTCATCGTGGACGTTAACTATGAGTTGTGTGAAGAAGAAGTATACAAAGAGGTTAAAAGACATATATCAACGTACTACATACAACATAAACTGAATAAGTGAGTAAACGACAAATTCTATTACACTAAAACCGTTCAACAACAATATTAATACTAGAATTATAATATACTATACAACTACAAACTTACGTCCGGTTCAGGCTTTCTTTAACCATAAACGAGTTGGATAATATCCTTATTCTTCGCTTCTTCGTCACATGATAACGCCTTTTTATCAAAAATGTACTTGCCTTAATACTTAAAAACCGTCCTGCATGGTTATCAACCAGAAATCAGTCAAATTAACATAATTGAAAAGATATTAATAATTCCTTTGTACAGTGTGTTTAAAAAAAAAGTGAACCCTTTCAAATTCAAATTAGCTATAACGTATTGTAGTAATTTGGGTAAGAACACAAAGTCTTGTACTCATGGGACAAAACTCAAAGAAATAAAAATCAGAAAATTTAAAAGTTTTTAAGAGTTTTGTCCCATGAGTACAAGACCTTGTGTTCTTACCCAACCACTAATTCAAAGCAATTAGAGCTGTCAAATTACTACAATACGTTTTAGCTAATTTGAAATTGAAAGGGTCACTTTTTTCCAGACACACTGTAGAATATCAAAATACTATACGTACAGGGTGTATAAAAAAACCCGCAACCTCGGAATTTCCCAAGAAATCGACATTGTTTTAAAGACAAAATATTTTAGGTGCCTGGGAATTTAAAATAGCACAACTGTCAACATTAGTGCACACACGAGTGCATAAAGCATTTATTTAATGGACAACAACAGTAATATGATCTTTTAGCAATTGGATTTCAATTCCCAGGGGCCTATCGAGGTTGCGTTTTTTTATACACCCTGCATGTATATTGTTAAGTAGATATTCGACAATAGTGGGAACCAATCAGCAATTAACAAGTAGATGATGTAACTTTGTTGATGCTGCTCAAAACAAAACGTTGTCATATTCGGTCAGTTTTGTTATAAAGAATATTTTTAAACCAGCTGTAAAGGACCAACCGTATCGTTAAAATCATGCATTAGTTAAATTAGACTACCAAGCGATGTACAACCATTCACTAAGGGATCCAGAGACCAAAGAACTTTCGCCATGTTAGATAAAATCCTCGGATAAAATTAGAATTGCAAGTAAATAAAACAGAACCTTAGTGGCAAATCCATGCATGCAAGAATATAAAATATTATTTCGCTGCTATGCATGTGTACTACAATTAAGGATATACAAAATGTTAGAAACGCGTTTTCAGAAGAAATGTATTCAATATTTTGGCGAGTGTTGTCTCCTGTTATTTTGACGTATTTTGAATTGGACAGGCAAATTTTGCAACTATTGGCTATAACTAAGTCCATATTATTAGAAAAAAAGTATAAATTTTAGTAATATGTGTCTCATATGATGTATGCCACAGTAGCAATGAGCTCTCTTGTATCTCATTATTTGGTATTGCCTAAAAAAACAAAAAAAACTTTAATTAAATTAAAGGAAAATGGCAATAAAAGTTTTATTTTCTTATTTGAAAGAACTTTTGAAACTATCTATTAACTTCTTTTACCGACTTTTCATATCTTGATTAGTTCTTAAAATATTTCCACTTGAACTAATGAGATGTCCGCCATCTTGGATAAATGTTTGATCTCATTGACGGGGATCGGAGAGATTATTTCGCTGGCCTCAAAGTGACAAAACGTAACAAAGAAACGGTTTTACTAACACTAACCCTACTCCAAACACCAACTCTAACCCTAATCCTTACCCTAACCCTAACCTAACTCTATGCCAAATTTGTTTCTAAACCAATCTTGAATAAAAAAGTTTTGACGAAATATCATTCTGAGGTCAGCGAAATAGTTGATGCCCATTGACGGTAGTTTTGGTGACGTCACAACAGGGATTAACCATTTAAAAATATTCGTTGTTAACCAAATATTGATTGGTAGATGTTTTAAAGGTTTTGAGAAATCTTGATATTTCGAAGGGCATACAGAGTATAGTTTTGAGTGCAAAATGATTAGTGGTTGTCTAGATAAAAATATTGCGCGACGTACCCTGTTGTGACGTGACTTGCATATCTACAAAAATTAAAGATGTCGGATATTTCATTCCTTTCATTCAAAATATTTGTAGAAGTAAGCAACGTACGAAAAAGCAGTAAAAGAGTGTTATACATAGTCTTAAAAGTTCTTTCAAATGAGAAAATAAAAAAAATATATTGCAATTATTTAACATGTGTACCATAAACACTGTGGTCAAAATTTTCCTGGTTAACATAGAAAAAATTCGACGTGGGTAACTTAATATTTGTGGTTAGATTTCCTGGTTCCCCACTGTAGTCTAGTTAATATATTTGACCAAGACTTCCTGGTACGTTAAACTAACCAGACTATGCTAAGTTGATCAATAACCAGAAGCTCTCGTTACGTATCTACCTAATAAAATGATAGTCTGGTTATCCCTACAGGGACGTCCTGCATGTCAAATATAACCAGACTATGGTAGGAAGTGTGATAAAATAAACATGAAAACTGAATTCTTAATTTTTTCCCTAACTTTACCTGAAAACCACTTTGAACCCGCTTCCGGCTTAGGAGATGCTGCAGGCTAAAGAAAAGATTATGAATCTAATTGTTATCACCATCATCATCACCATAATAATCATCATCACCATGATCATCATCATCACTACCATCACCATCATCACCATGATCATCATCATCACTACCACCATTATCATCACTATAATAATCATCATCACCATCACCATCACCATGGATCATCATCATTATCATCACCATCATCATTGTCTTACCGCTTGTTCCAATGTTTGTATCCTTTGTTCAAGTTTGGCTGCCACTTCCTCCATCTTTTTGAGATTGCTTGCACATTCTCCTTTCATTTCATTGTGATGTCTTGCAGTTCGACTTTCCATGATATTGATCAATTCCTTTTGCGCCATGTCGGTTTTATCATCCGAGTCCTTCTTGTACTGCAACGACTGCGCTTCAAACTTCGACACCGCTGCCTCCTCAATTTTTATTATTTGCTTAATTTTGTCATCGGCGAACTGGTCGAGTTGTTCTTTCGCGAACTGGAAATTCGATACGGTTTCTTTGCGAAGAGTTTCACAGAACCGTTTGGATTTTTCTTGAAGCTCCGCTGTGTTTTTCTTAGTCTCAGCTTCCAAACGTCGCTCCGTTTCTGCGTAATGTTTGTCTAGTTTTGCTTGAGCTAAAGTTCGTAATATCACATAAATGAGTACAACCGAAATTGATTAAATTCATATCTAATAACATATACTGTACATAATTATGTATGTCCGCTCAATGCAACCATAACAATAGGGTTGTTTAAAAAATACTTGCGCACAAAAATGGAAGACTTAAAACGCAATTTCACTTCAGAGAGTGCAAATTTATGAATTATCAAAGTACCAGACAATTTGATGTACATCAAGTCCAACGTGCAACCTCTAAAACGTGGACTTTTTACCAAAATATGGATTTAATCAGGACATTGGAACCCTCCTTTGCTAATGCTAGGACGGGTGCGCACCCCCTGCACCAATTACTCAGTAGATCCATCCATAGGTCTATACTATACATCATTTTCATATCTTACATGTTTGGAATGCGGCATCGAGTTCTTGTTCTTTCTTTGCAAATTTTTGTTGCATGTTTTCAAATTCCTTTCTTGTGTCCGCTTGCATTTTCTTGAACACCGAATTAAAGTGGCCCTCCATTTTTGCTTTTAATTCATTATACTTTCCAAGAAGCTGGCTTTGGTATTTGGCAAACGTATCTTCATAAAGTTTTGTTTTTTCTTCGGCAACCTCTTCAATCTTCAACACCTTGTCACGCAGTTCAACTTCGAGCAAGCTTTGTCTTTCTTCGAGCTAAATAAAGGATTAAATGCATGATTGAATTCGAAAATACTTCATGAGGACGTCAACTAAAAACCACAAGAGTGATTAATGGAATAAAATGGAGTGTGAATAGAAATATGTTGAATAAAATGGAATGGAGTAGAATACGGTAAAATAGTACAGTATATAGTAGAAATAATTGTGTAGAAAAAATTAGGATGGAATTTACTACAATGGAATAGATTGGAATGGAGCAGAATAAAATAAAATGCAATGGCATAATATAAGAACAGAATAGAATAGATAGATTTGAATAGAGTAGACGAATAGAATAGACAAAAATGGCATCGAGTAGAATAGAATGTAACAAAATAGAATGGAATAGAGTAGGATGGAAATGGAATATAATAAAAAATGGAATAAAATAAAATACATGGAATACAATAATTGAATAAAATAGAGTAGAATAGGATAAAATAGAACAGGGTAGAATGGAACATAATAGAACGAAATGAAACGAATACATATAGGAATAAATATATAGCCGGGAATGAATATATTCATGTGTCATTTTTACTATCAGTTTTTCCTAGATTCCCACAAACTTATACAGTCTTGGTCTCTAACGAAAGATTCAGAATGACACTTACGCTATCAGTTCTACGACTGGCTTCTTCTTGAACTTCCCGTACATCTTCTTTCCAAGAATTCTCCATTTCAACACGGTCCAAATTCTCCTGCTTCAGAATGCTGTGCACCCGTTCATCAATCTTCCCCGGGGCAAGATGAAACTGTCCCCTGCCACTTGAGCCACCAGGTGCTCCACCGACTGCAGACACTGTTATAACGTCTTCGTCAACAAATAACTCGCCTGAAGCAATAAACATTGATGTATATGAAGCTCAATAATAATGAATAAAACAGAAAATCAGCCTAGCTCTACGTGTCATAATTCTGATAGCGCGGTAATAAACGCTCATGAATTAAAGAACAAGTTCAATTTGTGAAACACAAGGAAACTTTTATAGCACCGTCTTGTCCTCCTCCTGCCTTGTTGAATAGCACCCAAAAATTTAATTTCTTTATACTTGTTGAATCCACCGATCAGGAATAAAACGTGAAAGAGTACCGCCTTAAAAATAGTGCCGAATTTCTGCATATATTTTTTAGGTAGTATCTCTCTCTACATCCTCTGTAAATTCGCATAGAAATATTTCATCGTACTTAAAATCCTGGCAAAAATTATGTGGACACCTAACTGTTCTAACGCCAATAGCAGCAATATTAACATTGAGACCTTATTTCATTAAATTCCCCCTGGCTCTATTCAATGTTTGTCCGCCGCATTTAAATTTTGAAAGTATGTTTAGATGATTTATCAACATTGAATTGGGGGTAGGAGGGGGAGAATTTCTTTAGGGGGATAAATTCTGTAGAAATACACATAGTTTTGTTTGACGCACGCGTTGTCCACGATAATATATTTTTGCCAGGATTGTAGGTTAGCGTCTGGCCGACCAAGCTCATATATTTAAAAACAGACCCTCAGATAGCTGGGTTTACCGCTCGCTCGTTCAATACTCCATACCTTTCGGTTCAGGCTTTTTCTCATCCTTGCGTTCCAAACCACGTTCAGTGGCCACTGTCTCGGTTCCGTAGCAATATTTGTATACTTCAGTATCACAGTCCGGGCCTTCGTAGATATTTCCATCGCGGTCGATGATACCACATTTGTGAAATATATCTCGTAACATCCACGTTTTTCTACCATCCTTCTGAAGGCTTTCATCTATCTCCACCTAAAGGATAAACCGATTCAAAATGGCGGCCAAAACATTTCATTGTTTTATATCATTTTTAAGTTGAAGAAACGTTTTTATAGCAGGCTTGTATAAAAGTAAAAACATTGAGTTGGAAAAGGAAAAGAATTTAAATTTTCTGTCTGTTTTCCTAAATTTGTCAGTTGGTCGAATTAAACACCGTTCCATTTTTCGGAAAACGAATTTATAGTTCAAACGAAGTAAATTTATAACATCCTCAAAAGAAGCCATTATAAATTACAAAGACGGAAAAACGAGTCGCGTGATTATAAACTTGTATAAGTTAACAGAATTTCAGTATTTAATTCATATTAGCTCAATAGCTCGGCTGTTAGTAAGCTCCGTCTCTGCGAAAGATTCCTGAGGGAAAATGGCTAAGGTGAATTCCTTAAAATTCATGAAAAAACATTTGTATACCTCAATAAAGTTCGGAGGGACTTTGCTCCCAAAATATCCAGTGCCTGTCGGACCTTTGCCCATTTTCTTTTTCCATCCGGCAATAGTTTCGGTAGCGCGCTCTTGGAGTTTGGAAATTGTGCCATCTTTGGGTTTCTGAGTTACAACACACCATGCTAACTGCTCGGCCAGTGTAGGTAATTCTGCAACCTTTCCTGAAAATTGGTAAAGATATCTTGAGTATTAAGATTACAATGATAGCACGGTTTACATGGTATATGTGGAAGGTTAATGCTCAGTTTGATTAACATAATATCAAAGTTTAGAAAATTGTTAAAATCACTTGGCGCAAAGCTGTTGATAACTTTGGATCTTCACCATTGCATATTTCTTTCCACCGATGCTGCAAATAGTGTTTCTAAAGTTCTAGATTTCAAAATTTCCGAGGAGAGGACCACAAAATCCCGCTAAAAGGAGATCATCGAGGTGAACCGCGCAAAGTCCCTGGGTAGGAGGCTGCACTGAGAGATGGTGACAATTAGCATTTCATTCTTTATTTATACGGATTGGACATTCATGTGATGCAAAATTTGGAATTTCATTGGTTTCAAAGCTTGATAATGATAAAGTCTAAAACAATACAACATTTCACCAAAGTTTTTTTAGAAACACGGAGTATTTTAACAAAATACAAAACAGTGAGTGTAACTCGAAAGATCGATAACATTTTTTTTATTTATCAAAAAAAAATGTTATCGATCTTTCGAGTTACACTTGTTTTGTATATTATACAGAGTACCTTTCTCGATCCGTTTGTCCATTAAGGAACTGTAGATAATGCCCACTGCAAGTTGCGCCATCCTTCGAGCGGGAGCATGGAGACAAATCGAGGTTTTTGATGAATCACCTGATGAAAACGAAAGGCAAGTTCAACAACACAAACAAGCAAAATCAAACTGAGGTAAAACATGACGGCGAAGGTGCCAAAACTTACTGGGTTCAGCCAAGCACTGTATTTGACCGCTATACCAAAGTGTCAGCCTGTAGGCCACGTCAGTACAAATGTCAACTTGTTCACCAATTGTTGCAAGACACGAGATATATTGTCCAATTTCTTTCTGTCGATATTTATCAACGTTTTTCATCACTGCTACACCAGTTTTGATGAAGAACTGTAAAGAAATTAAGCCAACATGAGCTCCACCTTTGAATTTTCTATATGAGTAAATTCTTAAACACGTCCGAATTTATCATTATGATAAATTCACGGCACATTTTGAATTTATATCAATAGAGTTAATCATAAAACCACAAGCATTAGACAAGGCTTCTTGTTATAAATTTAATGACGGGCGTGGGAAGATTTTCAAGATTTTCAAAAAATAGTTTTTAAAAAAGTTTTAAAGTTTAAAAAGTTAGATTTTCAAAAAAGTTTAAAAAGTTTAAAAAGTTAGGGTTAGGGGTTAGTGGTTAGGGTTAGTGTTAGGTGCCGAGAATTTATTATTATGATAAATTCAAATGTGCCACGAATTTATCATGATAAATTCGGACGTGTTTAAGAATTTACTCATATAGTAAATTCAAAGGTGGAGCTCATGTTGTATTAAGCACTAGTTAGTAGAATTCGCCCTCATGTGACAACATGGCGGCTTGTCAATTATTTAGAGTACAGGAAGGCTTTCTTTTTTACGCTTACTTATTTCATATTGTTGGAAACCTCCAGGAGGAATTTCAGCCACCTAGAGACGTTTAGGCGCTCGGGGCCATGCATATTACATGATCTGTTGTGTTTTACTCTAATTTGTTCTGTAGCGGTTACAGATTTCTCGGCAAATACCAGGACATGATAATTTGTTGCAAAAAGATACATGTTTCGTTAGATTCATTGCATAAAAGGTGCGAAATTTAAATTTTATCACGGTATTTGCACATAAATCGGTAACTGCTATAGAAAAACAGAGCAAATGAAATTACAGTAAATCACAATAGACTAAAGAAGCGGAAGTGGGACGCTTTTTGTATTTCGACTGTAAAACATTGGGCACAAGCAATTTTCTATTGGGTCACGTGCTATATTAATGATAAAATTGAAACATTAAGGACCCAACCTTATTCACTCTTGCAACCGTAGCGCCAATCAAAGGATCGAGTTTAAATATATCCAAGATACCACTGGCCAATTGAAGCTTTGCCGCTTTCTTTCCAAGACTCCCCGCAGTTGCAACCGTCATCCCACTAGCCACGGACTGAAAGAACACAAAACACCAATATCTTTTACGAGTCAAACATTAAATATATTAATAACTTAACATTTCAGTGAAATTAAAATTCCTTCAACAAATCCAAGTGACTCTTGTCATTTTGAAGATCGTTCATTCTCGGAAACCATGCGGTTCGTTTGTTTGTATGTTTGTTTGCGTGTTTGCATGCATACCTCTC